TTTATATCTACATACATAATTATATACATATATATACACACTTATACATTTACATGTATACACACTGTTACATATATACACAATTTTTTTAAAAAATTTTTAAAAAATTACAGAATTTTAAAAATTATTTTTTAAAATTAAAATAAAAAATTATATATACATATATACACATAAATAATATATATATATATATATATATATTCACATATGTATATATACATATTCATATATATACATATATATCCATATATACATTGAACATGTATATATATATGTGAATATGTATGTATATATGTATAAATGTATATATATATGTATATATATGCATATGAATATGTATATATACATTTATACATACATGCATACATACATGTATGCATATTCAATGCATATATGGATATATATGTATATATACATATGTGAATATATATATATATTATTTATGTGTATATATGTATATATATATATATAATTATGTATGTAGATGTATATATGTGTGTATATACATATATATATGTATATAATTGTGTATAGATATAAAAGTGTATATATATGTAATATGTAATTTTTATTTTCTTTTTAAAAAATAAATTTTAGAATTCTGTAATTTTTTAAAAGTTTTTTTAAAAAATATTTCATTTTATTAGTTTTTTAAAAAAAAATTGGAAATTTTTTATTTTTTTTTATTTTTTTTTTATTTTCTAACGTGGTAGGATGATGTGACGAAATGTGATAATTTGGTAAAATCTATATGACGTGATATGCCACGTCATCATCAAAATTGACGGAACTTATATCGTTTACAGATATAGGGGAAATTGCAATACATTTTAAGATTTTGTGTAAAAATTTGGAAATATTTGAAAACCGGTGTAATTTTATATCAAATTTGAAATTGGTGTAGAAAATTGAAACTCTTTCGAAAATTCGCGGGGAATATGGGATTGAAAACAAACTTTAGTTTTTATCCAAAAGGAGAGGCACACGAGGCAAGAGAAATGACTTTCGGTACGTCTCTCATCATCCCTTCTCCGACGCCTCTCTCTCTCCACTCTCCTTCCCTCTTTGCCCTGAAACCGACAAGCCTTCGCCGGAAACTCTTCAGCCGTCGGGCTGCAGAAGCTGCGCCACCACTCGATCCCCAGACTGCTTCGTCTGAGGTGGTAAGGAGCTTCTACTCGGGGATCAACTGCCATGATTTGTCCTCTGTCCGAGACCTCATCGCTCACAACTGCGTCTACGAGGACCTCGTCTTCCCCGACCCCTTCGTCGGCCGCACGGTCGCTCATCTCTCTCTGTCTCTCTCTGTAGATCCGCAAACTTCTTTTCCCTGAACGTGATAACCATGACAGGCAATCCTGGAGTTTTTCCAAAAGTTTACTGATTCAACCAGCACGGACCTGCAGTTCGTGATCGATGACATTTCGACCGAAGAGTCTTCTGCTGTTGGAGTTACATGGCACTTGGGTGAGCATCACTTCTCCTCTATAAACATCTCCCCAGTAGCTGTATACAGACCATTCCTCCTAAATAGATGATGTAATTCTCAAAAGATGAAGTGAATTGGGCAGAATGGAAGGGAAGAAATTTTCCTTTTAGCAAAGGTTGCAGCTTTTACAGGCTGGAGGTTATAGATGGCAAGCGACAGATAGTGTAAAGCCCTCTTCCTCGGTAGAATTTAGGAAACAGGCATCCCCCGTTTGATGATGACCACTGGCTGTGTCTGGACTGCAGATATGGGAGAGACTGCGTGGAGCCTGCAATCAAACCCGGAGAAGCAGTCCTGGTAACTCCTCAACTTATTTTACTTGCTCTCTTGTAAATCCGTTTTCCTGATGCAAACCCCACATTTCAGGCTGCTATAAGGGCAGTTACCTGGCTGCTCCAACGGTTTCCTCGACTGGTGGACCGCCTCTGACTCTGTACCAAACTCTCTAGAATCTCATTTCCTTGGAGGTTTGGTATATATACATACATGTTTCATCAAAGCCCTTATTTGGATCACATGTTGCAGAAATCATATATACTCTGCACTCTAATGCCAAGAGTGTTCTCATAGTCACTGTAACAATGTTTTTAGACATAGCAATACGCTCCTATTTCTCTTTAACCATTTATCTCCACAAAGTAACATACTTGAATGAAATGCATACAAAGAGAAACTCTTTCCTTCCTCCGTGAAGCATTATTCTCAACTTCTTTTTGTGTGTCTGCGCACGCGCACGCGCACGCGCACGCGCTCGTATAAGGAACCAAGGTTTTCTCTATAAGGGTCACTCTGACACACAGTCTGTCTTGTCAAGAAACTGCCGCCTCAACTCCTCGAATTGGCCCTCTCTTATGGCTTCTCTGATTGACGCAAAAAACCCGAGATAGTGATGAGTATTGTGTCTGCAACCAAAAAAAAATCCCCAAGTTCCCACTCATTTCACTATTCGCGTTACTAAGGCACACAAAAATACTTCAAACAATTATAGAGACTAACATCTCAAGCAAAATGTGAGCGAGCAACTCCTTCACGTTGAGCAGGTGATGAATGTATGCTTTGGTGTGATTACAGCATGTGTAGCACCTGCAGTTTTCCACTAACGCCGTTATGTCTTTCCTGCACGTATCGCGCCATCTCCTGTAAGCTTAAAAAAAACTACCAAGAGAATTGAACAAAATCTAAAGCCACCTGAATCCAGTCTCTCTAAGATTGATTTTTGTTCTGTCGCCTCCACTGCCAACACTCACAAACTTTGCCAAATCTGCCTTGATGCTTTCCGCAGGGAATATCAGTGCGAAGCCTCGTAATGTAAGATCGTAGATATAGCTGGAACAAGGAATCAAAAGACTTGTTTTTATATCTAACAAAAAAGAAACAACAAGAGGGAAAAAAAGCTACATACGCGCTATTGAAGAGATCAACACCCGCAGCTACACCTTCCAAGATCTCCTCTGCAGAGTCAAACCAAATTCGACCATTTCTCGGACAATTTTTCAGAATCCATTTCAAACCAACAACCTTAAGCTCTATACTTTTAACCAGAAAACGGAATCTAATTTTCCTTTCAGCTCTTTCCACATAAAACCAAATGAAATGCCTCTCACTTATACGATTCACAACAAAGTGCTTCATGGTGATTAAAAAAAAAAAGAAATGCCAATGAAAACAGATGAGATATATTTCAAGAAGAGACATTTAATCAAATTGAAACTGACCTGGAGTTCCAAGCCCGGATACCAAACGCGGCTTTTCATCTGGCAAGCATTCCTAAATACACGTGTTAGCAAATCCCAGGTTTCAGAAGTAAAGGGATTACAAACAGAATAACACAATTAAAACAAACAATATCAAACTCGAAAAGATGGTTTGGAGTTGCTCACTGTGACAGCATTCATGAGAGCAGCAAGATTTTCTGTGTTTTCTCCGAGACCAAACCCTCCAATCCAATAACCTGGATAAGCTAACTTTTTGCGAGTCATGATGCAAGTAAGTGAATACCTATGTGAAAAGATGATACTTCCCCTTTTCTTTCTATTAGATCTCATATCGAGGGTAGAATCAGAATGTACATTAGTTAGTTCTAACATGAACGTTTTCATATCTTAAATCCTCAAGAAACACAGGAATGAGCGCTACAAACTTATTCTCGAGGACAACCATCAAGTTATGGATTAAGCACGTACCAGATAAGCTTCTATTCGCAACATCCTGAGCACAGCGTCGACGTTCTTCAACAGAGTCACCCCCAACAATGGAACCAAAGATAGCTCCACAACCCTGAAGTTTGTATTGAGTTAATTGACCTCAGAGTCATTCAAACAGGTAACAGAATGTGTATATGATGTGTGCTTATCCCTTCTAGTTTCAGATTGAAGTGATCAATAACTCTTACAACAGGGCTTAATGCGATGCATTCATCAAGCCAGCGGAGAGTTCGTTCGACAGAAGTCTTATTCCGCTTGGCCGATACAGTGTTAGGTACTTCATCAGCTAAAGTAGCCCAAATGTTAGGCTTCATGGACGAAATCATGTCCACGTAGTCTGCTGGCTTAACCTGGTAACAAAAAAAAACATTCAACTTTAGAACATTAAAATTGTCGGAATCAGGCATCAATGGAATACTGAAATCACCAAGAAACGGCCGTAAGGTGTATCAAAAGAAGCTCCGAATTTGTTAGTTGCGCTTGGATCAGGAACGCAATCAATTGAATCCCTGAGCACGGATAAGTAATGGTGATCAGGCAAACTCAGAAGCTTATGTAGCCCTCCCATGCTCGACACCGTTTGCAGCGATAGCCCCTCGAAGCTGCAAATACAGCCATACTCGGTCAAAAATGTAGATAAAAACCTAAAATTAGCGGAGAAAACAGGACGGAAAGAAACGAACAAATGGAGGGGGCAGAGGTGAAGGAGACGGGAATGAGGAGAGGGGAGAGAGGAAAGGAGGTCGGGAGAGAGGAAGAAAGGAAGACCCTTGCGGGTGGAGAGGAGGACGGCGGGAGTGTCGAGAGGACAGCCGCCCAGCTGCAGAAGGCCCGAGCGGCCTCCGCCGCTGCTCCATGCTTTCACGGCGAACTTCATCGTCCTTCTAACGTTTAGGGCTTCTGTATTGTATTGTCAAATCCTCTCACATTCCCATGGGAAAATCACAATGACTCACTTGGGTTGGGTAGCATTTATTTCACGTCTACACCACCAAAAACATAACACATTTTTTTCCTTTAAGAAGACGAAATTACCCTTAATAAATACACGATATTTATACGTTCGAAAACGACTTCGTTATTACGAATTCGTAATTAATTCTAAATATAGTTACAATTAATTCTAAAAACACAAGACGCGAGACACTTGTATGTAAAAAAAAATAGGCATACAAGTGAAAACGTCCTATCAATTGTTTCCCACAAAAAACACAAGGAATTAATAAAAAAGTCTATTTTACCCTTAATTAAAAGGAGAAGACGTTCTCACCCTTAATGATAAAGACGTGTGTAAAGGCATCACACATCAAATCCTCCTACGTAACTTTTTTTCGTCTTTCATTTTTATAAGTAAAAATTGAGTGAACGACAGAAATTTCTAAATCATCATCATTGGAGGGCAAACGATAATTTGTCGTCCATTCAGTCCGCAAAAAAAGTGAGGAAAAAAAAGTTCCAACTCCTAAAAAAACGGTAAAAAAATATTCGATTTGTTTTCAGATTTACAGAAATTTGGATGTAGATTTTAGATATGGAGAAATCTGTATATCTCCAAAGCATACATAAATGTATAATATATATTTAAATATGTTTTGAGTTAAATATTAAAAAATATAATTTGGAATTGAACTTTTACTACATCATTTTTGTTGGTTAATTCAAATATACCAATCAACTGAATAGCAGTAAAAATTAACTGTATTAATAGTTTTCAAACATAATTTGTTAATAAAAAATGCATTGAAAATTTTAGACATTGAATTTTTAAACCTAAAATAGAAAATTTCACATAATAATGAATAAAAATAAATGGGAATAACTCTTAACAGACCATTTTGGCTTCAAATGAGACACAAATAATACTTTATTTAATTTGTTTTATTTTAATCTTACATTTGTCCCACGTGTTTTAATTTGGAAGAAAGGGTAATTTCGTATTTTTGTAGTAAGTGTTATTTAAGTTTTTAGCCATCCTAAATGGGCAGTGTATGAAAGGAAAACTAGTATGCTTTTTGGTGGGGTATGTTTGAAATTATTGCGATAAGAAATGCCTATTTTTTAAGTGTCCCCTCGTTTGGATGAGTAATAATAATATGTTGCCCCACTTTGATAATAATAATAATAAGTTTGTGTGATTTCAAATTAAGAATGGGTCACATTTATTCAATTCGTTTAGTGCTGTCCAAAATTCAGGCATGGCATTTTCTTTGAAAAAAGCTTAACCATCCGTATCCAAGTTCACGGTTTAGACTTCTCTCATAATTTATAATTTGTTTAGATAAGCAAAATACAAAACTTCAGTTTTTTTTAGATGGGAAACTAAGGGGCAGACAATTGCATACTCTTCTTTAGACCAACCCCTTGAGCCCTTTAAGAAAAACAAAACAGGGAGTTTGAATGGATGTTACATGTCCATATAGGATTTCATTAACAATGTTTTTTTTTTCCATACGTCCAGAGTCTTAATTTCCCAAAAAGTTTGACAAAAGGAAGGGGATGTGATGTGCTCCTATTATTATGGCCCCAGCAGCTACGTCATGGAATTTTGACTGAATGAATAGCAGAACCCCCAACCGAAAAAGGAAAGAATGAAAGAACAGCCACGCAATCAGTGACGTCATCGTCCCCCAACCTTTCCTCTATAATCTATTTATTCTCCTTCCACGCTTCATGGAATCCCCAAGCTCTTCTCTGCAAATAAGTCTTTATCAGAATTCGTGGAAATGGAAGACGGGACGAGGCAGATTATCCCACTCCTCACTCCGTATAGGATGGGGAACTTCAATCTCTCTCATAGGTACCCTTTTTCCTTTCTTCTTCCATAATAACAGTGAGAGAGAAGGAGAGAGGTTTAGCCTTTTCCGTTGAATGTTGATATTATTTTATGCACCCAAACTGTCCGACAGAATTCCGACATGAAAGCTCAACTGATCCAGATACCTTACCTTGCTGTTTCCTTTTCAGGGTTGTGTTGGCGCCATTGACGCGACAGAGATCATACGGGAACGTTCCTCAGCCCCACGCTGTCTTATATTATTCTCAGAGAACGACCCCTGGAGGCCTTCTCATCGCTGAAGCTACCGGAGTTTCTGATACAGCTCAGGGGTTTGTATATTTACTCCCAAAGTTGTTTATTGGCACCACCGCGCGCAGTCTCTCTGATATGTGCGTGTGTGTGTGTGTAGATACACAGACACGCCTGGAATATGGACCAGAGAGCAAGTGGAAGCTTGGAAACCAATCGTAGATGCTGTTCATGCCAAAGGCGGTTTCTTCTTCTGTCAGATTTGGCATTGCGGCCGGGTCTCCAACCGTGGTTCATTTTCTTACAACCTTCTCCCGGAGACCACAGGTAACAGCTGAGGTTCTGTCTGTCCTGAATTTGTTTCTGCTTTCAGGTTTTCAGCCAAACGGGCAAGATCCAATCTCCTCCACAGACAAGCCACTGACACCTGGCATCGATGAAGCTCGATTTACGCCTCCAAGACGTCTAAGGACGGAGGAAATCCCTGCCATTGTTGATGATTTCCGCCTTGCAGCCCGAAATGCTATAGAAGCTGGTATGCACAGAATTTCCCATTTCTAGCATTGAATGAATGCCTTCAGATGCCTGTATATAAAGCAGGATTCGACGGAGTAGAGATTCACGGAGCACACGGCTACCTGATAGACCAGTTCATGAAAGACGAGGTGAACGATAGGACTGACAAGTATGGTGGATCACTAGAGAAGCGCTGCAGATTTGCTCTGGAAATAGTGGAAGCAGTAGCAAACGAGATAGGCCCAGACAGAGTAGGGATAAGGCTCTCTCCCTTCGCGGACTACATGGAGTCGGGCGACTCAAACCCTGAAGCCTTGGGGCTCCACATGGCGGAATCCCTGAACCAATATGGGATATTGTACTGCCACATGGTGGAACCGAGGATGACAGCGGTGGGAGAAATGGAGCAGTGCCCTCGCACGTTGAGGAAGGCCTTCAAAGGAACGTTCATAGTAGCCGGTGGTTATGCCAAGGAAGACGGGAACAAGGCGGTGGAGGAGGGACGAGGAGATCTGGTGGCATATGGGAGGCTATTCTTGGCAAATCCTGATCTTCCGAGGCGATTCCGACAAGATGCTCCCTTGAATAAGTATGACCGAACCACCTTCTACACGCCTGATCCTGTCGTTGGCTACACAGATTATCCTTTTCTTGAGTGACAACCTATTTTCTTCGATTAATTTGTGCTCTCTGTTTCCACTTGGGAAGCTATCGATTCACTCTTTCATCATCAGAACAGTTGCCATAATCTTTTTTTCTTTTCTTTTGGAATAAAACATGATGACCTCCAACTTCTTCTTCATGTCAAAAAGCAAAACAAACAAACAAAAGAACTGAACCTCGTGGTAGCACCAGACACGTACAAAGGAATGAAACAGAGGATGGCAGAACCAAAGAGGGTCAAAAATTGTCTGCTAGAGTTTAGGCAATCTTCTCTCTGATGCCTTTCCCATTCGAAAACCTGTGTTCCTCACATTATCACACATGAACAAGTCTTTTGTATTCCCTTCTCCAATTCCTCATCTGATAATCCCATCTCACTGCCATGCAATCATGTGTCAGTTTCTTAGCACCCTAAGCTGGGAGACAATGCTACAACCATATGAAGCAAGAAAAAACCCCATTTGAAGTTGCTTGGGTTAGGCTTCTATGGTCAATTATTGAAACGATGATTCACATTTTGCGGGATAGAGGTCTGTCATGGTCGTCAATAGAAGGTAAAGCCTTGGTCTAGACTCTGTTTGCAGCAGGACGTGACTACAACTAGCATGGTGGGTGGTAGTGGAATAGATCTACCTATAAACTCAAACGAGAAAATGAAATTCACAACAGGAAAAAGTAGAACAGCAATTGGACAAAAGCACATACCTTGGCTCAAATTCTCTAACTTCGGTGAGTTCCTTACCACAAGTGTCTGTCCACTGCACTTTTCGCCTTTCCATGTTGCTGGCCAAATTGCAATCATGCGCATCCCATGTCTTGTATTCCTTTATATGTTCTAGAGGCGGTGATTCTGTAGCAGATGGCCTCTTCAAGCTACTCCTGAGAGAGAGCTTTCTAGCTTCTTTGCTGTTGTCAGCTTCACTAGTATGGTCTTTGCTCTCGTCAGCAACAAAAGACTTGGGTGCGATATCCTGATGTTGTGAAGGTCCTACTTTGAGGGGAGATGGGCTATCAAGTCCTGCGGAAGCGCGACCAAAGCAACGGACAGAGGCGCAACCGTGGGAAAGTCGGTTCTCAAAAGAAGCCAGCTGGAGAGCAGAGACAGCCTCTCGGTCCACCAACTGGAACTGATTCCACGGAGCAACGCTCATGGGCCTACTGGCATCCTTCACACCCAACCCAACAGAAGAAGGGTCAAGCCGTTGCTACACCCAGATGACAAAGACAAGAAGAAGTGCCCTCCTTCTACTTCCAGTAACATCAGTTTTACTCATCTCACGTACACAACAGCTGACCGGTTCCACCTTCTACCCAAGCAAGGACAAATGTAATTGCCTTTGGCCACCTCTGCCACAAATTCAGACAATTTTTTCCAAAATTCAGGTGATCCCAGATAGCAGAAGCTAATACAAGCAGATGAAACTACAATGCTTGGGGATTGACAACAATAACATGTCCCAATCCTCTACCAACAGGGTTAAGCTTTTAAGGAAAATGTCATCTTAATTGCTATGGAATTGTTGAGAAATTGACTGGAAACAACCCAATATACAAGGACGAGGACTCTTTAAGCATGGATGATAAACTGGAAACACTTAAAAGCAAAGAACTAGTCTAAAGTGTTGAGTGACAAGATCGATCAATTATTGACGACAGAGAGAGCTAAAAACTCATAAACCACGGAAATTCTAAACAGGGGTAGTGAAGGGAGCAAATCAGATTGATCCGTGCGAAGATAAGATGCAACCCTCATCATGGTTCCTCACGAGAGTCATTCATATAACTACTTCACTCATTTGAAAGCAGAATTACAGCATAAAGACGCCCAGAAATAATTGTAACCAAAGAGATTCGCTCATAAGTTCTAGAAATTGAGCGCTTCTGAATGAATCGAATGGAATTATATAACAAGATATATGAATATCAAATCAGCAAACTACTGACGCGGAACAATATGCACAGAAGCCGGTTCTACTGTCGTCGTCTATCTGATAGTCCTTGCCAGTTTCGATGGCCTCATCGGAAACCAAACAGAAGGAAAAAGATGAAAGGAAGCGAGAGGGAGTAGACACCTAAAAGATCGTCCGGCGACTCTCTCACTTTGTTCCCGGGAATCGCTGGTGCGATGAGAGAGGATTTAACTATCGCATTTATGTAATGGGCCCCAGTCTCTTTATAAACTTTTGTTTAAAAAAATTGATATCAAGTTAATAAAATAAGATAAACGCAGAATTTTCGGACTTAGAATATGTATCGAATTTAGAAAATTCCGATAGCGCGAAGGATAATACAATTTCTGGAATTTGCGGTGTATTTCCCTAATATCGTCGGTATAATTGGGGCAATGTTCGAATTCTGCAAACGCATTAAAAATCCAAAATGTATGGGATCAACTTTCATTTGCATTATCGAGATACAGATACCATTTTCATTAAAGGGGTTTGTTCCGGAAGACAATCAAAACCCCAAAAGGAAAATATAAACACACGTATCCATGGCATGTGACATGAAGATACTGATTCAATCATATAACCAAAAAAAAGAGCACCAGAAAAACCTACCAAGTCTATTGAGAATAGTGTGTTAGCTAAAGATACTCAGCACTAGAAACCCTCTTCTTCTGCCACCTATATGACCACACAAAAAAAAACCCTCAACTCTTCAACGCTTCTTGGAGACACCAACAGTCTTACCACGGCGGCCAGTGGTCTTGGTGTGCTGGCCTCGCACCCGCAGACCCCAGTAGTGCCTCAGACCACGGTGGTTTCTGTGTTACATACATCACAACATGCGTTCAGAAACCATCATCAACAGATTTCAACCTATATATATATATAGAGAGAGAGAGAGAGAGAGCAAGCAGTGTTTTATATTCAAGTCATTTAACCTGATCTTCTTGAGGCGCTCAAGGTCATCTCTTAGCTTCATGTCCAGAGCATTAGAGACAACCTGTGAATACTTCCCATCCTTGTAGTCCTTCTGCCTGTTCAAGAACCAGTCTGGTATCTTAAACTGCCTCGGGTTTGCAACTATCGTCATTAGGTTATCAAGCTCAGCTGCTGTTAGTTCTCCTGCCCTGTAAGTAAATTTACAAGCAACCATCATAAGACCAAGTGAATATATTCCCTTCTTACATAACTCCTCTACTAGAGTAACACCCATATATCAAAGCCAACAGAATATTCAAGTTTAACAACAGTTATCCAGTGTTGAAGACACATCACATAAACGTAAAACGCGCAGAGTTGTTCTTCCTGCACCTAGTAGCTACACACCCAGTTCATTTCTAATCACAAGGACAAAAGTAATAAAAACCCGGATAGATATTCTGAACTTCACAAAAAGTCACTCCAGAAGGAGCAATGCACCAACAAGAATTTATATTGCTTTCATACAATAGTTATATTTGGAGGTGAATTCAACGAGTGGGAATTATTAACAAGTGCTAAGTGTAAAGAGAGGAAACAAGAGCAAACCTCTTGTTCATGTCAACATCAGCCTTCTTGCAGACAATGTTGGCAAATCGCCTACCGATACCCTTGATGGAGGTCAGGGCAAACATTATTTTTTGCTTCCCATCAACGTTGGTGTTCAGCACACGCAAAATGTGCTGAAAATCCTCGTTGGCCACCAGAGACTACGCATAAGCAGAACCAGATCCATTAATCACACCCTCCTATGCCTCGAAATCTATTGTATCAGATTCAAACCATAACCAGGGATGAACATATGCGGTATAGGAGCAACAGATTATCAACTGTAATAAGTTAAAACCTAGAGAAGAAACGAAATACAGACACAGATCGAGAGACTAAAATGAAATTCGAGAGAGAAATCGAAGTCAGGAGAAGCGTGATTACCATTTTGAGATGCTGAGAACGATGGAGCGCAAGGAAGAAAGCTCTTGGCGGCAGACTCTGAACCTGATTGCGTAACAGCCGATTTTAGTATATCCGTTCCATGTTCTAAAGCGGTGGCCTCCTAGGGTATGCGGAACTCGCAGCGTTAATTACTAATTTGCCCTCAATTTTAATACCTGAAGGTCTAAACCTAAGATCAGTATTATGAGACAGCGAGAAAAAAAAAGTCATATCATTTATGGATTATTAAAAATATAACTCGATTCAATTCAATCGCTGGAAATAATTCAACACGACACGCGTAAAAAAATGCGAAAACTGAGGGAAAAAGGAGGGAATATATATTCGCAGATGTCATGTCAGCCGAAGGCAAAAGACTGAAATAACTCTATATATTACAGCACAAATACCTTACAATATAAAGAAAGAATGGTAACATACCAACAAGTCAACCAATAGATGGAATGGGGTTACGCGTCATGCGAGGGTGGTCAAATCGTCATGAAAACTAATGATTGAATCCAAATAAGTTTACTGGATGGTATAAGATTGTTCCAAAACATAAATTGATGTTTGAAGTCGTAAAACAGTGAGAATAGGAAGGGGGCAAGCCTTTCAGTATTGGAAAACCCGAAACATCGTTCGGCGTAGAGAACAAAAGTTAACGGAGGATGGGAAAGACAGATTTGGGGAACTATTGATTAAACATATTTACCAAAAAAACAATTAATTAAACACCAAAGGCAAAATCTATCGAGCAGAAAACGTCCTTCCTACGCACAACATATATACACCTGAGCCATGAATGGAGAGACAACGCAGAAAGGATGTGTATGGCATGCACAGATGTGTGAATTTCGTCACCCAGGCATACGCGACAACAGTATTAAATCTTCTTTCTTGTGTTTTGGTCTAAACCATTGAGGCCAAGTTAAATTCAAGGATCTAAATATCTGTAAAATATATATGTATAGAGAGAGAGAGATGGGGGTGGGGGGAAGCTAGTTGGTGGTGGAGGGGATGGAAATAGTACAGCCTAGTTCCAGAGCAGCAGTGTCTAGGAACTGCGTAGGCAAACTGGAAGAGACCAAGCTGTGAGCTTCCCAACTCAAACACTTTTGAATGTCTGCTTTCCAATCTATGGCTTCCCCGCCGTTAAAGAAGGTTCCCTTGTGAATTCCTCCGTTCTTCTCCTGAGGTTTCTTCTTCTTCATGCTGCTCTGCTGCATTATCCCCCTTAGAACCGATATACTCAATGTCCTCACGTGCGCACTTTGGTGTGACAGGCACCGTACTGTTGCTGGTAGCCGGCACTGCACCATCAAACGAATGTTATCCCCTTTTTCAGATTTAGAACTTTCTTGGAGGAATTGCCACAGAGTTGGGTTTTTTTTTTCAGATTTAGAAGTATTACAAAACCCTCGACCTCTACACACAGTCACCATGATCTGAAAGCCTCGTGTCTATGCAGAGAATACGTGCTGGGTGTAATACTCATGCTTACCTTCAATAGATTTGATAAACCGTCTACTAGTGCTATCCCCGACTGTCCCCACTCCAGTACCAGCTGAATTGCTCTTGCCGTCGCTTCAAGTAGCTGCAAAAGTTTGAAAGACACATAATATAAGATACAATCTACAATGCAAAAGAGAACTCAGACAAAGGGCACACAAGCGCAATCCAATCAGTGCCTCATTGAGCGTTAGAGAGTTTAATTATTGCTGACTACAATCAATTCTTTGGGACAAAACCTGCAGAATAACATTGTAAATATGGAAGAAAAGTTTCTACCATGCACGACCAAACAAGGCCACATGTCATATATTGTAGTATATTACCTCAAGCTGGGGTAATGTGCAAGCTTCTCCATCAACAAGCATTCCATCAGTGGCGCGTAAAAGCAAATCTGACGCACTGGCTAGAATCACCAATGATTCGGGGTTTTCATGGTTGCGCATCAGTTCCACTATCACTTTCACTATCCGTTGGTTTATTCTCCACATCTTCTGACCCTGATCGTCATCTTTGGCAATCCAAGGCTGCAACTCCCTCTCAGCCTAACCGTAACACAAGGCCATGAAAGATACCAGAGGATGAAAAGTAGATCGACAGAGATGCACGTTTAGAACAAGTCATAGTTTCTCCACAACTGGGATTTACCAGATATGCTTCACGACAAACCAGATAATTGGGTTTCACAGAAAAATGACTATTAAGACAAGTTATATTATTTTGCGTAGGATAAATTTTTATTACTCTACTATTGATGACACTAAACCAACAGCTCCATGGATTATTGGGCCTGAAGAAAACCATATGTTATTCTCTACCAGAATTTTTTTTAACCTGCTGCTATTCATGAAATGTTGAATCAAAAGTTGTATACAAAATGGGACCGGAAAACAAGTCATGCGTTCTGCAGTTGATTTATTTTAATATGTTATTTGCAGCAAATTAAAGCAAGAGTTGCACAGCTTGGACCTGAAGAACAACTGCTGCCGCAGCCTTTGCTGGTGATGAAGATACAACATTGCATAGTGCATCAACTACCTGATAAATGAAAATATGGTCAGAGGATGAGTGAGTACCACCCCACGAATCTGCTGCATTCACGGGAGAGAATAATAATAAAACAAGAAAACTTTCAGAAAACTAGGAACCAGAGATGATGAAAGTTACTTGTCTCCATCCTTGCTGAGCTGAGGTGCTTTCCGCAGTCGGCTGGATTTCAGGGGCAGCAATCAACTTGTGCCATAGGAGAGAAACAACAGCGAAACACAGTTCCTGTTTCTCCGCAAGCACTGACCTCAAAAGGACTTGTGTTCCACAATAGAATCCGGTGTGCCTATCAGCAGTGAGGAAATTAGCTAGATCAGATGCATCCATCAGAAAATCTGCAATTCCCTTCCCAGAGTTGCTAGTCCCTGAGCCACTGTGTGAATGTGTTGATCTATCGTATTTATGGTTGTTTCTCGAAGTTATTTCGATCCGTGAGACAGATGCTGTGCCAACGCATGCGGTCCTTGCACACGTGTTTTGTAGTTTACCATTTAAATTGATCAGAGAATCTTTCCAGACCGGTGTATGCATGAGGAAGGCTTCTAAGGGCTCGGCTTTGTCAACAATGGATGCAACAGCTTTGCTGTGAAGATCGATAAGGTTATACAATGATGAGGCCCTTGTATGAATTTCATTGTCCCACTTGCACCTCATTAACAAAGAGAGAGCATGCATCAAAGGCTTCGAACGTCGGAATAGTTCGGAAATGTGTGCGGCAACCATAGCTGCAGCTACTATCTCACTAGAACTGTAACTCCAAGGAGTCCCCACAGAAGACGGTTTCAATGAAAAGAGGGCCTCAAGAATAGCCAAGATTCTGCGTGTGTGATTAATCGCCGAATCAATCCCAGCTCCATATTCGTTGCATGACCCATTTATCTTTACCGGCTTTGAAGCAACAGAATTGGATTGGTTGCTCCCCCTGGAGATCATAGGAAACAACTGAACCTCACAGGCAAGAGCACAAACAGCAGCCAGAACGTATGAATCAAATGCTGCAACAGGCCCCTGTCCCTTGATCTTCCTACTTTTTTTGTTAGTTGTCTGATTGTTGGGCACAGGTTGGTTCTCCTCAAACTTTTCATCAGTGATTGCAAGTTCGCTCCTTGGTCTCTTGGTCCCATTGGACTGAGCTTCATGGCTAACACAGACAGTCAACACAACAAAAAGTAGCCGTGAAGCTAGTTCCACACCAGCACATGATTCTAAAAAGAGAGCATGGACCATTGCCCGGAGCTCAGCCATGGCAAGGTTTTTGGTCGCTGATCCTGTGCCGGAACTGGATCTCATTTTCCTGCTTTGTTCCCTGGAGGACTCAGGAGGAAACGTCCTCCTGAGGATTGCTTCCACAGTGGCAACAAATATTTTCATCAGGCATGCTTCAGATGGACTTCCCCGTGGAAGATATTCAAGTACTTTGAGGAGGGGAATGTACAAATTCCACGACAAGATAGGAGGTTGAAGTGGAGTAGCAACTATGATTTCTGGAAGATCAACTGCTGAGGAATTCAATGGAATCAGTCCATAGGCAGCTTCCCAGATGGTGCAGATTCTCCATTCAACCTCAGGTCCATGAGCACAAAGCATCGACGCGATTCCTTGGGCAGTGGCTTCGATGGTTGCTTCGGCTGCAGGAACTTCTATCTGGTGAGAGATACAAGATTACAAACTAGTCAACCTCAGGAATTTGTACTGACGAATACCAAAGACATATTAGAGATAAGCTGGTATACTGGGAAAAAAAGGATCAGACATGAGTAAGAAGATCGCCATACCTGCTTCCTGTAATTTGAACTATAGCCACCTGTAGGCTCATGCAGAATCTCTACCCCCTCAACTTGGCTTAGTGGAGGAAAAAGCAGTGCAGGCTGCGAGAGTATACGGAAAAGCAATGCGGCTGCAGCATCAGCAGCAACACCTGCTCTCATGGACATAGCGATGCCTATTGCACGCAAGAAGTGCAAATGCATCCAGTTCCTGGGTAGCTACATTAAGAAGAGAATGTGAACAAAGTAATAGAAGCCAAAATAATTACCAGATGAAATTTCAAAGGCTCTGACTCATTATAAACCACCATAAATTAGATAGCAGACACAATACCAGGACAACAATGCACAAACAAGCTTCAACAAGACTGGACGTCTGGACCATGGATCTATCTTGTTAGAGAGTGATCAAAAGATAAGGATGTCACTTACCCTTACACCAGATGCATAATCTTCAGCAGCTCGAAGGAGTTCCACAAGCTGTACAGCTGCATCCAGTGCATCTGGAGCCCATGATGGTGGTGCTTCTAAAAGTCCCAGAAGAAGTCTCTGTGTAGCACTTGGAGTTGCAATGGCATAATATCTGAGCTTAAAACAAGAAAGTGAGGGTGCAATTCTGAACCTGGAACTTCCGCAACCAAACCTCAAACTAATAGCAGATGATTACTCAATTTGACAAGCATAAATATAGAACATATGATGCCCAAAAACAAAAACAGTACCCAAATAAGAAAGAGAGTACAACAAAGGCAGATGCTCATCATGCCCATACTTTCCAGCATCTGTGCATTCTGAAACTCTGATTGAAGATTTACTGAATAAACACCGTACAAATAGCAAGTTCAGAAATTACCTGTGAAACAGACGTGCATAAGGCTCAAGTGCTGGAAGTCCTGCAACTAAATGCTCGTCTAAGGCTGTTGTCGGGGGAGGAAGAAGAAGAGCGGGGACAGCAACTGCTGTCAAAGTAGCAGTCTCATATCGAGCAACTTCGTCATCACAAACACTCAATATGACACCAGCACCATTAGCGACTGCCCATCTTGGCGTTGAAGGCATTAGCTGAGGATGCTTACCAGATCCTCGAGAAGAAGCTAAAAGTAGAATAAAGCTTAATGTAAGAGTCTCAGAAGACGCAAATTCATGAAACATCCAAATTGCCTCAGGTATTGGAAGAACATATGTAACAAAGTTCCTTCACATCAATGCAGTTCATTCATAAAATCATAAACAGATTGTCGCATACCACTGTTGTCAAGTATACAAACAAAGAAAACAAAGGAACAGTGATTGTGTATTCAAATTGTGTCCTCCACTAATAAACAGATCAGCTCTATGGATTGCAGTTACGTTAATAAGCAGGTTCTGCAAGGATTACCAAGATTTATTGAGCTTACCAATAATAGGTGGTCTGAGATCTCCAGCAGCATATCTTCCCATAACACCACTACTCCTGTAAATGTTAATACGATAAGAGTAATACTAAGCCCGCAGCCAAAATTTGATGCAGGATCAGCACCATAACACCAAGAAAAAGCAAGGAATCTGCAGGAACAGGTAGAAGCATAAGCATCGTAATCTACTTACCAGCGGAAATAATCACTTCTTATACTCAGAGGAGCAGCAAGTAATATATCAGCGATCCATGGAGACAAAGGCCTTAATGGTTTCCTTTCCTGCTGCACTGGTGGGACGACTTTAGACTCTGCATGCGTTGGATCAGCAGTATTTCTGCACACACCATTGCTTCTTTCTGTCTCGCCAAGTTGCTTCTCCATCTTATATATGGGACGATTATAATGGGTCAAAATGCGAAGAATTTCTCCACAAGCCAGAGCCCATTGCTCGGAGTAATCATTCTGTTGAAAGCTTTAACATGTCAGCATAAAATGGTATATAAACCCTAATCAACAGTGCAACATGGAAGTATAGGAGGTCTTAATTAGACAGCCAACGAGATGAAAACTTATTATGCCAAAAAGGTGAGAGATTCTACCTCGCTGCTTGAGCAGACTAAGGATATGAAAGAGGCAAATGGAGGAGTTTCTTTGTTGTAAACCAGAGAACCATCAATGATACATGCAATAATTGGAAGAATGACAGCATGACCATGCTCTGGATGATGGAGGACAAACATTGCTGCTCATCAGGAAAAGAAAATCAGACAGATATTCATGACCAACAAATAAAGAACATGAAAAGATATATTTATAGACACAAGTGAAGGTCAATACCCATGACATCATCCAAGAGGCGCTTCTCGGTTGATGGATACTGATTGCGAACCAACTGAGAGAAGAATTCATCAATCAGTAAAATTTCACAAAAACAACTCAGTTCAGATATGAAATAAAAGTACAGAGTAACTAGAAGCACTTCCAGTAACAACTCTGTCGCAAAAAGAAAACATGGACAGGAGCATCACACATACCTCGGCAATATCCTCGGGGAATTGCTCTGATGTGAACTGACCAAAGTATTCAACATAAGCAATAACTTGATCCTAGGAAATCCGGAGAAGGTAATTAGTAACCAGAGAAGAAACTAGTAGCTGCTCAGTGCAGACTGCCGTTTGACGTTAGTATACATACACTGTCAATATTTTACATAAATTATGACTAAGAAATACCAAAGACAACCACAAATTACCCTACAAATTAACCCAAGTGTTTTGAGAAGGGAGTTCACGACAAATAAAAAGTTGAAGCCAGACAGTAACTAGATAAACGAAAATCATATCCTAGAGCAAACCTTTCCCCATCCAGTTTCCATCTTACAGCATCAGTTTGATTTGAAAAATGGAGAAAACATAGTCCCATCGCCAGTACGAAAGGTAACAACCGTACATAAGCAACTAATCCATGCCTACCTGGCGTTGTTGAGGGTCCTGTGGCGGAGGCCAGAACAAGGAGGAGAACTGAAGGCCGTCGATCCACTTCTCGGATGAACTAGCCATCCGGAATTAACCAGAACAGGAAACTACCCCCAAGACACTAAACCAAGCTTACCAAGAATCCTACCCCCAGTCTCCAACCTTTCTACCAATCGAGTATCAATATATCGTAATTCAGCATTCCCATGAAAGGAAACACTAAACACCACCCACGGCTCATCAATCTACCATGACCCTATATAGAAATCAAAGGATAAGAAACACTAAAACCGCGTAATTCTATCAACCTAGGGTTGTTTTCCACAGCGGAGATGATCCTAGTACAAGCTCTAAAACTGATATCAGGTCCTTGCTGCAGAAACAAAAAACTCAAATTAACCAAACAAGATTTGGTACGGGATCGTATAAATTCACGGTAACGCAAACGCTTCAAAATCCAAATGAATAAAATGCGGAGTAAAACCAGTTCGCAGACCGAGAAAAAAGTGCCGGTTAACTGTAAAAGGCACAAGAAACCAACATCGGAAGACATGAGAAACATCATATGATTCGAGAAATCGAGGCAAGGAAACGAAGTAAAAGAACAGGGAGGAAATTTTACCCCCTTCTTCAACGATCGCTGATTTTCGCAGTTTTCTCTTCTTTTTCTGGATATTTTGGCTGATCAATCCGACGATGGGGTTATCAGAGAGGGAGAACAGGGCAATATGTTGTGGCTTTGCGGAAGGGAGAGGGAGAGATTTGGACGGCCCCTCCACTCGGCTTTAGATTTCTGCTGATGTGGCATTGATATTTTTTGCATTTGATGCATCCATTGCGCACCATTCGCCATTTATGCACATAGATGCACACATGGGTGAAAAGTAAATAGAAGACAAGATTAAAAAAAAAAAAAAAAACTGTCTAAAATCTAACCAACCTTGTGTGTTCTTTTACTTGAAGATATGTAAACTATAACATCAATGTCAACCTCTTAAAACTCTCTTAATTAGTGCATTATATAAAACTTAAATTTCATTTTGGTAATAAAATACAAAAAAAAATTACTATGAATTCGGTATAAGCATTGAGCTCACTCGGAATAACTTATAGACATGGCTAATAATTTTTAATGACCCATTATTTAAATAGTTTTGGCCATGATTGTGCTGTTCTCCTTTTAAATTCTTAATTAACAACAATAAGAGAGCTCCTTAGGTGGCCTGAATAGTGAATAATTTACTAAGCTTTGATTTGTCAAGGCAACAAGTGTTGGAAGATATTTTTGGAGGAGGTACAATCTAGTGTTTTTAAAGCAGAGCTTGCATCGTTCATTTCGGGCCGTCGATTAGGTTCTTGATATCAGGCGGGGCCCAGCAACAGAGCCCCAGCAAAGCAACGGGCAGGGTCTGCCCGGGAGAACCGAGTGACGTCTGATGGCTGTGGAGTCACGGGCAGCATTCTTCGGGCAGATGTTGAGAAAATATCTGACCACTGGGCTTAGATATACTCTCGTCTCTTTTGCCCACTTGTCTCGCGAGAACGAATCGAATGAGACAATGACGTGGACCAGTGAGAGAGAAGCAAGAGATATACGGACGTAGGATACTCGCCTAACACACACGTGGCAAATTAACGTGCGAGCAATATATTTACGATCTTCCGGCCGATTCGCGTGGGGTCCACATAACGGAGGCTCGTGAGAGGTGATGGGCTTCGATGGGCTGGGTGGCATACGTGTCTCTCCCTTATTGGGCTTCCCGAGCACCCTGCAGTTTGCATTACGTGTGCCTCTTCGTTTCAGTCGTTTTTTTTTTTTAATTTACATATTAAAATGCTCAATACGCAAAATTTAGTTATTACAAAAATAGTTTGAAAATTTGGGACACTGAAAAAATGGATATACATTTTTTTGAGTAACTTGTAGCAATTTATATATGATCGTTTAAATAATAATTTTAAATACTAAATCATAAGTATAAAAAGAATATTTAATATTAAACTCTTAAATAAAGTCTGATCTCTACCATATATAGGCCACCGATCTGTCTTATACAGATCAAATCTCCGTAAATTATGAATCCGGAACTAACTACGACCAAAACTAGAGCGAGTAAGATTGAAGGGAAAAAAGATAAAATTTAAAACGATATTTTAAAATAAAATATAAGATTCTCCACAGTATTTTTTTTGGGCAAATGTTTAAATTTACTAATTCTTTTTTTTTTTCATAAAGCAAAGCATCAAGGGAATAATTTTGGGGTAGTTATATTGAACGGACGACATAAACCAGCGTGTGGAAGTGGTAGAAGATTAAGAAAAGGGTGATTGGGACAATCTTAGATTAAAATAAACAAAGGTCAAACGTCGGTGAAGTTTGCTCCAATCAAAAGAGCCCAACCACATCATTGTCGGTCACACGCACCGACCCCCACTTTGATCCACCCTCCAATCATTCGGTGTTGCTTATTTAATTGTGCGTAGCGTAGCCCCTCGGTTTGACCTTTTATTTTATTTTTAATTCCTCTTTACTCTTCATTCGGAATATCCATTTAGGACATTTATTTGAAATTAATAAAAAGAAAAACGGAACTGATAACATCACATAATAGGTATTCTTAAAAGACTTTTTCTAAAGCCTATTTGTGAATGACATGTTATATTTATACGGATGGGATTCTCAAATCATTTGATATTTTACAAATTGGCCGAAAGATAATATATATGTCCAGGTCGTGCCCTTGTAAAGTTATAAATGAAGGAAACAGAAGTGGATAAAGTTGGGCCCATTACTAAAGCCCAAATCGATATAGAATGAATCCCCCCCCCCCTTGTCTTCTTCGCTCCTCACCTGCTCCCAGCCCCAGGGGTTTCAGCAATAGACTCGTCAAAAAAAAAAAGAGGAGACAGAGAGAGAGAGGAAAGGCACAACTTGCAAGTACCCGTTACAAATCTCAGGAGAATGGACGAGTAATCGATGTCAAGGTCAGTGGGTGTCCTCCCACATTCCACGCACTCTGCCTACCATTACTTACACTATCACACAAACTTCTATTTAGCTCTCCATAACCACGTGGGATGATCACACACGAGTTGTGCCAAAATAATTGTTAAACCATAGAAAAAAGTTAAAAGATAAAACGGGCCGTGATGAACAAGAACAAAGCCGCTCCTCTCTAATCTGTCTCCTGGGCTTCCAGTTATGGATCATATCGTATCAGCTGCCACATCGCATGGTTCTAAAATTAGTGACTGAAATTTGAGCTGATAAGATAAAAATGAGGGAGTGTTTTAGCAATTATCCCACTTTAAAGTTGGGATAGAAAAAGAGCCGTTTAACGAGAAAGGAAGGGGAAGTCTCGGCAGAGGATAACGATGCCAACGCTTCTCAATCCTCCATGTCACTCTCTTTCTCTCTTCTCCTCTTCTTCTTCGTCTCGTTGCTCCGGAGACTGCTGCTCCATCAATTCTTCGTTGAGAGTGTCAAAGTCTCTATGCCATAGAACCCTAGTTCCCATTTCGCTCCGCAGTCCCGCCCTTTGTCGGGAATTTTCCCTTAACGGGATCGGATTCTGCTCTAGGGATGATGTTTTCGGCCTCCAGGATGGCGGAAGCGGAGAGAACGAGGAGCTCGAGCTGTTGAATAAGCCCAATCCTGTACCCCAAACAGAGGTTACCCCGTCAGAGGACGAGGACGGACGCGCAAAGCCCGATAGAGATGAGATTCTGGAGCCTTTTCTGAAATTCTTCAAGCCGGAGGGAGAACACGGCGAATCTGGAGCCCCGGCGGAGAGAAATAGCGTGGGCGTTGAGTACTACGACCCTAAACCAGGTGAATTTGTGGTCGGCGTGGTGGTTTCGGGTAACGAGAACAAGCTCGATGTGAATATCGGCGCGGACATGCTGGGAACAATGTTGACGAAAGAGATTCTGCCTTTATACGAGAAAGAGCTTGACTATTTGCTGTGTGAAGCTGAGCAGTTCATAGCGAATGGAAAAATGGGGGTTGTCAAGGATAATGACGAAGATGGTGTAGCGAATGGAAACGTTGTGAGGGCAGGAAGGCCGGTGGTGGAGGTAGGGACGGTGGTTTTCGCGGAGGTGCTGGGGAAGACGCTCAGCGGCCGCCCTCTCCTCTCCTCCAGGCGCTACTTCCGGAGGATCGCTTGGCATCGAGTGAGGCAGGTTCTTTTCTGTTCCATTCGTGCCCTGATGATAGATTCTCCTTTAAACAAAGCAGCTAACCTGATGATGAGCGCAGATACAGCAACTCAATGAACCTATTGAAGTGAAGATAACAGAATGGAATACTGGTGGCCTTCTTACTAGAATCGAGGTACTTCTTTCAGTTCCAAATCTGCTGTGAAGTAACAAGACTTTCTTTTTTGAGTTTGGTCCATCCCCATTAAACCTTCTGAGCTTCTTCTGTATCCATTCACTACTCTCGGCTGCATCATTTCTTACAATAGACATCCAAATACTGCCTCACCATCGTCGTCATTTTAAGGAGTGATTCCAAAATGCATATATCTGCAACCATATAATTTAGGTGATCCTCTCCTTTTCTAACTTCACTGGCTTCTATTAGGGGTTGCGAGCTTTTATTCCGAAGCAGGAGTTGGTGAAGAAGGTGAACAATTTCACGGAGTTGAAGGAAAATGTAAAGCAGGAGTCTCTTCTCCGTGAATACTTTTCAGTGTATCGACGTACGTTTTGGGTTTCTCACCCCGTGTTTTCTCATGTCACAGGTGGGTCGCAGACTGTTTGTGCAGATCACACGAACAAATGAGGACAAAAATGACTTGATACTGAGTGAAAGAACAGCTTGGGTATGTACCTTCTGAATGTTATCTCGTTAGAAAAAAGCAGCAAAGGGCCTAACAAGTAACAATGCCTCGAAAATTCTCAGGAGAAGCTGTACCTTCGAGAAGGAACACTCTTAGAAGGGACTGTCGTCAAAATCCTTCCATATGGAGCTCAAGTCAAACTCGGGGACAGTAACAGAAGGTTAGTTCAGCGGGTCATTGTTTCAGGACACTGGTTTTACTCCTTACTCTTAACAGAAGGTTAGTGGGATGGGATCATTGCTTTTCTTCTTCCAAAAGATTCAATCGTTTGGATGCAAATGTTTCCCCAGCGGGCTGCTGCACATTTCAAACATAACCCGGAGAAGGATTGGATCGGTGAGCGATGTTCTTCGGGTGGACGAGAATGTAAAAGTTCTGGTCGTGAAGTCTCTGTTTCCGGACAAAATCTCTCTGAGGTAAATTCGGGAGTTGCAGAATCATAAAACTCTGTGTTTCCGCAAAAGCATCTTAATTCCTTTCTCTTTGGCTTTGCAGCATTGCGGATCTTGAGAGCGAACCGGGCTTGTTCATCTCAAACAGAGAGGTAAGAATGATCTGATTCATTTTGAGGTGTGTATATATATACTACTTGGCCACGGGAATAAAAGTACGAAATTCTACTCTAATTTTGACGAGGCAGAAGGTTTATGCTGATGCGGAAGAGATGGCGAAAAAGTACAGGGAAAAACTGCCGGCGGTGGCTTTGAGCAGCTGTTCGGAACCTCCTTCCAGCAGAAGTAGTTTCCATTTGGGCAAGGAAGAGGAGGATACGTTTGCAAACTGGGATTGGTTCAAGTTCGAGACTGAGTGACAACAAATGGATCATCCTTTTCTCATCTGAAGATGATGAAATGGTGGACAAAAGTCTGTTGTGAGTGCTGTACACTCATTTTTCTATTCCAAATAGAACACTTCTCTTTTGGAAATTATGATTCAGTGGCCTTTTCGGAGCTTGTTAAATAAATCATTGCAGCATTTTGTTCTATTCAGCGAGAAATACAAATTGCTCGACTGAGAAATTGGTGTTGGTGAATAGGAAGGATCCAATTCTCACCTTTTACAGTTGGAGGAGTACAAATTCTCTATTCTAATTGTACGAAACTTGCCGAAAAGTGAAATATTCTATTGAATTCGAAGCAGCAGATATGATAATCATGAATCCGAAACCACAGAATCGAGTTCGGCAGAAAGAAAAAGAACTTGGGCTAACCTCGTCGTCATCCGCACCATCAACGGAGGAATCAATCGTTGAGCTGCTGAAGCTCGGCCTTCAGCTGTTCGATCTTGAGGCCCATGGAGCGTTGCACCGCCGCTCTCTGCCCCTCCGGCAGCCTCCGTAGCAATCTCTCGAACATCTCCACCACCTCCGCCACGGCGGCTCTCGCGCACTCCGCCTCTTCGTCGAAGTACACTGTCTCCTTCGACTCCATCGCCATCTCGATCTCTTCCCTTGCCTCCGCGAACTTCATATTGATCTCGTCCACCGCCTTGTTCACGTCCGGCGGCGATTCGCCTCCTGCGTCGGTGCTGTATCTCCTCCGAGTTTCGCGACCGAACGTCGAAGATGAGTTCAGATGTAAGTAAGTTTGGGAACCAGAGACTGGAGTCGGGAGAGACCAGAATCTAGGGCTAAGGGAGTGGAGGAGGAGCGTGGAAGACGAAATGGCTGGATTCTGGGAGATCCGAAAAGGGTTTCCAGAGAGAAACTTACGGAGAGCAATGGCCGAATGGGAACGCATGTTTCCTCCGCTGAATTCGACGGAATCCGAGAACGTGCTCTCTTCAGGTCAGGGAAGAAAGAAAAACAAGGCCTCTTGGGCTCCTAAATATTAGGCCCACATTATATTCAAATGAGGCCCATCGTAACTGTTCAGCTTAAAGGAACAGAACAGGTGAAGCAGGTCTTTAACAAAACCACAGAGAGAGACGAGTCAAAAAGCTTCTTACCAAACCCTACAATGGCATAACTGCTCCATTTCACAGCTCCCTACATAAATAAACCCCCTTCTCTACTCAGACTCTGATAGTTGAAAGCTTCATTTCAATCGAGATCTATGGCTGGCCACATTCCATCACCACAAACACAGCCCCTAACGTTTTTCCATGCGGGTTTAGCTTCTGCAAGCTTCCTCCTTCTCTGCCTTTCGCTGTTCATATGTGCTTCTCATTCCAGGAAAAACCTTAGGCGCTGGGCTGCCTGTTATGGCTCTAGAGATCAAGAACCTGTCATACAGCTGAACAATCACATGACGATGACGATGATGATGGACGAGAACGGTGATCCAAGCACAATGCTCAGCGGGGATCAGAGAAGAGTCCCACTGTGGCAGAAGAACATTCTCATGGGCGGAAAATGTCAGCTTCCTGACTTCTCGGGCATTATCTTGTATGATTCTGAGGGTAATGTTGTTGCTCCTCGCCTGGAAGTAACGCCATGACTTGTGCGTCTTTGTAAAACTGTTCCTCGATGAAAATGCGACAGTTGAACTGTCTAAACCTCTAGCTAGTAGAGCAATGATTATGCATTCATTGTTTAGGGCCCATGATTACATTTTCCTCATTTGGCCCATAAAACTCCTCAGCATTGAAATTTGGGTGACGAACACAGACCACACTAATCATTTGAAGTTTCGAAGCCAGTAAACCAAATTATATACGAATAAAATTATCAATGAGGTATTCTAATAAAACTCCTTTTCTTTCTTTCTTGTTTTGCTTTATATGTTCACTTGGTTTCGTCTCAAATCAAAACATTACCAATAATTAAAAAAATTGTTAAATACTGTAAAATAAGATTGTATTAGGTGTATTAGTTCGAAAATGAGCCCAAGAGAATATTAAACACTCCATAATTTCTAATAGAGGAGATAATCAACAAAACCCAAAAGATTTATAGTAACTAATCAAATTACGACAACATGCATGGTCTAAACAGTAATGATAGAAATATGTCTTTTATCTTATTTTCTATTCAATTCCAGAATTTAGAGATGCTGGCATTTTTTATATACTGTTTTATATAGCCAGTTATTGAGAATATTTGGAATTGGAATTCCACGGGCACATTATTACAACTTTTTTTTTGGGTGCTTGTGTGGTTCGAATCCAAACATATATGCCATCCCCTGGTACGAGTCACATGGCCAACGAGTATAGATCCTCCTACCCTTCATGAATCATGTCACTGGTCCTACTGTAGTCCGCACCCCCAGTATATATGTCCTTGTATATGTACAAGTATACGCCTGTACACATGCATATATGAAGCTGGACATAGGGTATTCTGGTGTTGTTATACGTAAGTATTAACTAAAAAAACAACAAGAACAAGGGGTGAAGCCGAAGAGCAAATATTGTGTTTTTACTACATGGCCCGAATGTTAGGAAGTGGTGGGAGACCGCATTCCCACTTAGCCCAAGAACCGCTCTCCTAATTGTATTGGAATAAGTGAGTAAAGGTTATCCCTAGAGCTATAGATTTCAACATGTTTTACAAGTTCACTATTCGAATTTTGTCCCATGATCCCATCACGTTATTAGTCAGATAATATTCATTTTATCATCTTGACTACATATATAAAACTCATTAAAACCACGTTTACAAAATAGTTGATGCAAAGATCTGAGGTTAATCTAAAATTATACTTTTGGCGGACAAAACAAAAGAAAAATATTTGCAAGGAATAAAAATAGTTGATAACTCATAACGCGTTTAGTCTGCGAATCTCTAAAAAAAATAGGTTAAAAGTGTCTTATTGTTCCGATTAAAAGGCAATTAAACAAAAATGTTTGGATACCCTAAACTCTAAATTTTGGTAATACAACATATCACCTTATTGTAGAAAAATAAAATGCGGAAACAGAATAAGACAAATGAAAATAAACAGAATTACTTTATTTCTACATCTCTTCTTATTCTTGTTACATTACAATGAAAATGAAATACATATTTCACTACAAAAAAACAGTTATATAGCGACGGAAAAATCCGTCGCAAATATAAAGGAAATCCGTCGCAATTAAGAATTTGCGACGGAATGCGACGGACTTATTTCCGTCGGTATAACGCTGTCGCAAACGTATAACGGTCGTTAATCCGTCGCAAAAGTGTGACGGAAAAAATCTGCGTTTTGCGACGAAAAGTGACGGATAATTCCGTCGTAATTTGCGACGAAATTTTTTCCGTCGCATTCCGTCGCAAATGTTTTAAAAAATTTTAAAAAATATATAACAAAATTATATACTATATATACACATACATATATATATTTTCACATATACATATATTCATACACATACATTACACACATACAAATATACATACACATACATACATATATATATACACATATTTTCATATACACAAACACACATACACATTCACACATATACACATACATAAATACTCATACACATATACATTTCCCAAACACATACACATATACATTTCACAAACACATACACATACATATAAACACACACATATACACATATTCATATACACATACAATCATATATACATACACATACATATTCACATTCATATATATATATACATACACATACATATTCACATTCACATATATATACACATACACATACATAAACACACACACATACACATTCACACATACATACACATTCACTTACACACATATATAAACACACACATACACATTCACACATATATATACACATTCACTTACACACCCATACACATACATAAACACACACAAATACATCAAACACACACATATATATATACATAAATACATATATATTACCTTATGGGAGAAATTTGGCGATCTTTGGAGGATTTAGAAAAAAAATTTCGATTTTTATTTTTATTTTTCCGAAAATTTTTGAAGTCTGATGAAGAAGACGACTCGTGATTTTATATTGTGTTTTGCGACGGAATTTTCCGTCGCAATCCGTCACAAAATGAAATTAATTTACGCACCCAAAATTCAAAAAATTTTGTCAAAAAACGAAACCAAATACATTGCGACAGAATATTCCGTCGCAATCCGTCGCAATTTTTATTTTCCGTCGCAAATCATCTATTTCTTTGTTGTGACAGAATTATCTGTCGCAAACCGTAGCAAATTGCGACGGATTTTGCGATTGTTTGCGACGGATAATTTTTTTCCACATTCTGTCGTAAAATCGTCACATTCCGTCGCAAATTTCATCGCTATATGTAGGTTTTTTTGTAGTGTTTATAGGACAATTAAAAAATGGAGTAAAATGGAAATATAAACACAATGGAAACAAATCGAATACACAATATTTGGCATAATGATATTGTATCCATTATTATTCTCCATCATATCTCAAATCTTATTTTACTTTTCCATCACATATTCATTTTCCCATTTTAATATTCTCCCTCAAGATTGACTTTGAAAGAATAAAAAAAGTCAATCTTGAATTGATAATGTTATAAACCGCTCAGACATTTTCATTGTCTCTGGAAAAATTCATAAACACCAAATTTTGTTCTTTTAGAGAGCATTAACCATTTTCAAATCAATTCGCTTGACTTTAAAGTTCTAGCTTTAACTCTTTTTGTCATATCATCTTGTTTAATCTTAGAGTTTTTAACTTTGACTTTTGTTTGTCATATCACATCGTTTGAATTTAGATTTTTACTCTCCTTTGAACGATCTGGATTTATGAACATCCAAAACGCTAAAGAAAAAAGAGATTAGAAAATTAAAAAAAGAAACATACAGTCCAGATCGCAACGATGCTCTGATACCATGTAGAAAAATAAAATGCGGAAACAGAATAAGACAAATGAAAATAAACGGAATTACTTTATTTTTACATCTCTTATTCTCCTTGTTACATTACAATGAAAATGAAATATATATTTATAGGACAATTAAGAAATAGAGTAAAAATGAAATATAGACACAATGGAAACAACTCGGATACACAATATTTGGCATAATGATATTGTATCCATTATTATTCTCCATCATATCTCAAATCTTATTTTACTTTCCCATCACATATTCATTTTCCCATTTTAACACTTATTTCTTAAAAAGTACCAGATATGCGATCCATATCCAATTGCATATATTTCTTAAGATATAGAAGTGAATGAGATGAAAATTACCTTAGTTTATGTAATCATTTGTGAAGTTTATTGTTTCTTTTAAAATAGGAATTGTATACTTTAGAATAAAGATGCCATGAAAAACACACAGCGATTTATTTATGGCCTTCCGACATTAGTTATTTTTCTGTATTGCCATCCACACGTAACCCTTGAATGGGAATATTATGACTTGGGTCTTTTCCGTTTGCCACTACTTTCCAGACATAAAATTGTGCATTTAGGAAATTTCTTCAATTTTCTAGACATCGTCTGATTACATTGGTCAAATTGATAACAAATACAAATCTATGCTCACATTTGTGACAAAAAGGTGGTTATATACAATCGAATATGTCAAATCAAATAGATACAACTTAGAAGACATATTGATAAATAAAAAAAAAGTATAAACTTTTACGTTTCATAATTGTTAATGAATTAAATTAAAATTTTGAAAGTTATTATTTTCATCAACTTCTCGAATTCCACTTACGTGTGTGTGAGAGAGGGAACTAATCCGATGTGGAAAAAATAATGTTAATAAATAAATGTACCACCCATCCATCTCACATCTACATCTTATTTAATTAAACCTTTCTGAAATGAGAAAATGTGGCAGAAATTATTTTGTTCATGGTGTTTGGTCATATATAAGAGCACTCGGACTAGTTGCGATGAGATGATGGTATAATATAGGCTCATTAACTTTTGGGCTTCAATATTTGAGCTACGTCCTCGCCTTATCGGGCCTTTTGATTTGATGGGCCCAGTGTTTACTCCATTTAGGGCAGAGGTCCACTTCCTATTACCGACACAATTTGTGCTACTGAGACCGTACGTACAAATGGGCACCACTCATATGGCTATGCGGCCCAATCACCGGCCTCGTGGTTCAGCCCATCTCTTCTTTCTCTTTGGGCTTCTGGATACTTGAAGAGAGCATACGTGAGTGAAACTCCTGGACAATAATTCTCAAGTCAGTGGAACCACGTGGACATAACATAAAACTTGATTCGTAAATACATAAGTTTTCACATTTATTTATCGTAAATTATGTGCATACTTTGAAAAGAAATACAAAAACTAGGACGCAAGAAGATGTGTAGCAGTTGGATATAGATAAAAATCCTTTTTTTTTTTTTGCAAGTCCCAAGTAAATATCTCATGCCAATTTTGTAACTTTAATTCCGGAAATGATATTGGGGAAATTGGTTATGTTAATTTGGAATAATAATTATTTAGTACAAATATTTATATGTAAAATTGTCATTCATTTGTATCTGAATAATAGGCGCAGTTTCTAAGTATACAAAATACTAGGAAAAGGAAAATACAGATGAGGCTTTAACTCAAAAGAATCTAGTAAAAATAATAATAATAATAATTAAAAAAAAAAACAAAACAAAACAAGGAAATGAATCTGGACTCCTATTTGGATTAACTGGAAACAGCGAATTTTGTTACAGAGATCCTTTTTTTTTTTTAAAGTGAAACAATCCCAAACTGTCAGGAACATAACAGAAACAAAACCATTTCCTAAAGATAAACCAACAAAAAGAAACAAAACTTGTTGCAGCAGTTGAACTAGAATTACCCAACACAATGGATCCAACCTCTCTCTCTCTCTAGTTTCCCCCCAGAATTAATGATATCATTCTCTCTCTCTTTTTTAATTCAGGGCAATAATAATAATAATAATAATTAAAAAAAAAATGGCTCCCAAGAGTGCCTCCTCGGAAGAATTCAGCTTCCCAGTGCTCGCTTCTGACGATACCCATCCTTCATGTATCGATTCTCCTCAACTTTGGAAACGGTCACCCCCTGATGCTTTCCTCCCCGACGATTACGACCGTCTCTTAACGCGAATTCCCAGCAACGACGATGTTCAGAGCCGATGGAGCGAAGGTGACGAGGAGAAGATGGACATGTTGTGGCAAGATCTCAACGACGACCTTACCAGAAGCCGCAGCCTCAGGATCGAATCCGACAAGAAGTCTTCGTGTTCCGCCGCCGCCGTGACCGTGGGATGCGGGATCGGTCGGTCGATGAAGGTGTCAAAGAAGACGACGACGGAGAGGAAGAAACCCAACGTGTTGGTGTTCATGAGGGTTCTGAAGAAGCTCCTCCTCCTCCGGAGTTCCGCACACAGATCTCCCGCCAAGACTCACCCTCGATGATTCCGGTTATCTTTTTAGGCATAAGCCGGTGGGGGGTTTCCTGTACCTTTATGAAATTACGGGGCTTTTTTTAATGATTTATTTCTGGGTGGTTGTGCACATACAGTTAAATTGATTGGTTGATTGATCAACAAATTTTTCGGTTAAGCTCTCTCCAATCTTTTGCTTAATTCGTATCGTTTTCTGCATCTCTCTGGCTGTTGATTAGATCCAAATCGATTTAAGGGGGTAGAAATGTAAGAATATATGAATATGGGGGAGGAGGTGACAGTAAGACAAAAGCTAAAGATTGATCTTTCCTTGGAGGAAATTTATCTGAAAAAGAAGGCAATCTATCATATATTTTTTAATTCCCATTTCTTTATTCGAACACTTGAAACTACTTTGGCCGTTCACATCTGATAATTTGAGATGAAACAAATTAGAAATAAGGTTATATTTGAACGTGGAATAGGAATAAAAATTCAAAGTTGAAGGATTTTCAGCCTTTTAAGTCACCGGTATATATGGAAGACTAAGAAGAGAGATTAGGTGAAATAGCATATGAAAAAGGAAGCTTTGTATTTATGACTCGAGGTGGAGAGACACCGTTTTCCGACCTAATCTCTTGGAAAGTCGCAACGGTTAAAAACAAAAGATCCGACATATTTGGGAGATTTTTAGAAACCCGACTTATGATCCGATTTTCTTACCTAAATGGGCTTTTCGGCTCAGCTAATGCAATGTTTGAGCCCATATGAACGATAGAGGGGTCTGTGTTGGGCCGATTAGAGCTGCGGTAATTGAGATTCTCCTCTTTCTTTGGCGTACAGTCATTTTCCCAATTTATGAAAAAACTAACAAAATATCAAATAATGTCAAAAAAGTAGAATAAAAGGCAGTAACATTATATATATATATATATATATATATATATATATATATAAATCATAATATGTTTCTATTAGTAAGATTGAATGTGTTTAAACAAAAGGAAAAAGAAAGTTCTCCAAATGATAATATTAAATGGAATGTGGTAAAAAGAACTTCAAGTATTTCACGTGCCAAAACAAACTAAGAAAAAAGAGAAGATGAGATTTGCGGGAGCATATTGCAATTGTGCACATTTCATAAACATCATAGAGGAACATGCATACCCACACACGTGTGCAAATTTCACCTCGAATACAGTCTTATTACATTATTAGAAATACAATCACACACACATACATATATAAATATATATAGAGAGAGAGAGATGACATTACAATAAATAAAGGAGGAGGATTAATTAAGGGCACTTGGGCTTGTTGGCGTGGGTGCGGAGGGAGGCGTAACAGGGGCATGTATTGGTGTGGCCGGAGGTGCCAGGTGGGACGCAGCCGCACCTCAGGCAACATGTCCCGCACGCCCTGTAACACACTTTCTTCCTTGACGACTCCCTGCACCTTCTTTCGCATGCCTTTCCACACTCTGATACATTCATTCATCCATTTTTCATCTTCTTACTTTCATATATACTCTTGACGGTGAATATGTATTCCATTTGTTTCATGGATGCGAATGAATATATATATGTTTTACTTTTACCAAAAACATGCATGCATTGGGAATGCCTTGACTGAATATAACCAGTGGCATGTTTTATCATGTGACCAGAAAGAGTATAAATGGGAGTAGGAATAGACTCTCACTGAATGTAGGCCGATGGGTTCTTCTCCCAAACGCCGCTGTCTGGTCCTCTTCGTTTGTCTGAACCAAAATCAAAGCCTTAATTACATTAGGAGATCGAGGGTTTTTATATATATATATATATATACATATCTAAAAAACGTATGTACATCGACATTATCTTTTTAATTTATTGATAGTATCAGATATTAATATATAAATAAATATTTTAAAACTTCCAGTCAAAAAATACGGATTCTTCAACATAAATATGAAGATAATGAAAGCAAAACAACAAATGTGGAAGATTAGAAGTCAATATTTTTTGAAGAAAGTTGTAAATTAGGAAAAATTATAAGTTAATATCAGAAGCTGATGCTAAGAAGGAAAGCATGCAATTTGACTGACAGGAGAGCCAAGATCGGAGTGGAAGGATGCTTCTGCAAGAACCTGCAACGAGATGCCTCTGTTGTTCGATTGTTTCTGCAAATTTTTTATTAAAAAATGTAGAAGATGAGAGCACCTGCAAAATCATAATAAAGATGACGAAAACCAACGCCACCGCATCCACCTTCTTCATCTTCATCTTCTGGGTTTTGCAAACACTTGAAGTGCGTGAGAATGGGGCAGTGTGTGTTTCTTTATATACCCGTGATTTTTTCCTTTTTGGCAAATCACATGCAGTGATTTTGATGCCCCAACAAATTAAAATCACAGATTTTCGATTGGTTTTTGCTGTAAAGTTACCTTTGATCAAAACAATTTGCTTCTGTCCCTTTTAATCATTTGATCCCATCATATACCTATATCAACCCTAATTAATTTATTACAATCTCGAATGCTACGCTCAAAATTATACAAGATGATCAACTAGGCAAAAATAAACTTTTTTTTTATAACAAGGATGGTTCTCCAAGCCATCAACACAATTATATCTATTATAGATTTGGGTTTCATCTTTGTATATGGATCATTTTGGATCAGAAATTACATCTCTCTCCACCAATGAAATGGAACCCAAGACTTTAAAGATAATTTTGTCATCTCTCAACCATTAAGCCACCAACGGTTAGGTTAGTTTGTAAACTTTGGTTATATGATCAGTACGTAATGATCTCCGTCACTTGAATAAATGTCAAATCACATTTTAGCCCTACTTGCTTGGTTGTGTTTGAGTTTCAAACGACGTTGGACGAATTAAAATGTGCGTGTAATGTGTACGTGAGATACACACATTGAATATATATATATATATACAAGTCCAAGATGTGCTGCGGAGAATTTAATATTTTAAAAGATTTTTGCCATTGTGTTGTGTGACCACCACAGCTGTCTGATTATATATATATAGAGAGAGAGAGAGAGAGAGAGAGATGTGCATGGGGACGACACAACAAACCACCATCTTCTCTAATGCTTAATCAATTGCTACGTTGGTTGGCCTCCATTTATTGTCCTTGCTACTACTGCTCTATCACAGCTGTTTCTTTTCTTTTGTTTTGTTTTTGAAATCTCCTGTGTTTATTATGCAAATACTTGTTCAATATATGAAGAACTAAAGAAAGAGAGAGAATATTGTCATGATGTTTTCAAAGACCAACAAGACATTTCCTCCAACTTATAGTTTTTCAGAATTATTTCAATAAATTTCATATTTGAAACCAAATCGCTGGATTTCCAAAGTGGCTAATAGGTCAATCATCATCATCACCACGGACTCAAAACGCAGACGCGGACCTCCGCCGGATTATATGCTGCATCGCCCCCCCCCCCCCCCAAAAAAAAAAAAGAGAAAGGCCCAACTAATACCAATGCGGTGAAACGAGACAAGCCCAGGAACTGGATTGTCTACTAGGCTCAATTATATATTGGCCCACTAAACTCCCAAATATGACCAACCTCTTCATTTCTACATACACATACGATTATATGTATATAGACTACATACATATACACACATATTCTAAATCCACACACTTTGTATGGCATACGATTATATGTACATAGACTACATGATTGTTTGATCTGAAAAATAATAGGTAACAGGGATATGTGTGTTGATTCAATTGTACATCGTCGACTCCATTTAGCCCATGAAAATATGCTTATTAGCAACATACAATGACGAGCTGTGTGTTTATGATATACCGGCCTATTATAATATCATAAAAAAAAAAACAAGTATAAAAATACTCCATTTTAACTCACCAGTAATTCTCGTTTCTAAGGTAATAATGCAAAAGTAAATAAATGTTTTCGTCTTAGATCAAACCCACTGACTCATACAGAAGGTTATTTGGAATGCAGGGCGTGAAGAGGGGATTTGAAAGAGGGAAAACGGGGGCGTTATTCGTCGAAAGCTTCCCTTTGTTTTTCTTCTTAGTGTCACATAGCGAATAAACGTGGAAAACATCTTGGTTGCTTGGGTTCAGACGTGAACAATCTCATCAAGAACATGCGAAATCTCTCCCAGATTTTACACATCTTTTCGTTTTCGCCAGTCTGAAAGCCTCGATTTTCAGATCATTGTTTGTTTACCCACCGACAAGTGAATCCAGATCGTGCAATCGAATCTATGAGCGCGTGAATCAGTGGTCTGATGCATCTAACGATGGCGCCCCCACGGAGTCTGACCAGAGATGAGGAGTGCGGGGCGGTGTCGGAGGACGATGATTCGCCGTCGGGGAAGCGATCTAAAATGGAGCGATTCCCGCTAAGTCGGTGGGAATTGGCGGTGTCGATCGGTGTCTTCTTCGTCTTCTCCATCGGACTCTTATGTATCTACCTCACCATGCCTGCCCCCGAGTTCGGAAAGCTCAAGCTACCGAGAACTATCGCCGATCTCCGATTGCTCAAGTTAGTTTCTCTCCTGTCGCTTGATTTCTTTTGCAGATCGAGTTGGATTTCCTAAATTACGTTTCGATCGATTCAGCCGTGGCATGATTGGATGGATGATATAGGATCGTTCTCAGATGATCGAATTTTTATCAGTTTCCAGCTTCCCATCCATTTATTACCTTTTTCACGGATAGCAATGGCTTATGAACATTTGATGATTGGATTTATTTGGATGGATGGATTCAGAAATTTCCAGCAGGCGGAGCCTTGCTTAACTTTTAAATCGTGTTGTTTGTGCAGAGAAAATCTAGGAAGCTACGCGAATGAATACCCGGCGCAGTTCGTACTGGGGTACTGCACCACCTACATTTTCATGCAAACCTTCATGATACCCGGAACTATCTTCATGTCGCTGTTAGCTGGAGCTCTCTTCGGGGTTGTTCGAGGAGTTTTCCTCGTTGTTTTCAATGCTACGGCCGGAGCTTGTTCCTGCTTCCTTTTGTCGAAGTTGATCGGACGCCCAGTGGTTTCTTGGCTGTGGCCTGAAAAGTTGAGATTCTTTCAGTCGGAGGTACGTAGATTCCCGCTGGCTATTTAGAATTCCTACGGAAGGGATTCTGAGATGGGTTTTCTGTCTCTGTACAGATCGGGAAACGTAGAGATAAGCTACTGAACTACATGTTGTTTTTGAGGATAACACCGACGCTGACAGATCGGGAAACGTAGAGATAAGCTACTGAACTACATGTTGTTTTTGAGGATAACACCGACGCTGCCAAATCTTTTTATCAATTTGGCATCTCCGATAGTTGACATTCCCTTCCATGTGTTCTTTTTGGCAACGCTTGTCGGGCTCATCCCCGCTGCTTATATTACTGTCAGAGTAAGCCCTATTCCTCTTTCCTTTGCATCTACTCGACTCGGAATGATTTAGCACAACTCTTGGCTCCCTGATTGCAGGCTGGTCTTGCTCTTGGAGATCTCAGGTCGGTGAAGGATCTGTATGATTTCAAAACGCTGTCAGTGCTCTTCCTCATCGGCTTGATCTCCATAGTTCCAACAATACTGAAAAGAAAGAAGATATACGAATAGCCAAAACCTAACCCTTCAATGCCAACCCCTCAGAGATATTCGATTCTTTGTGGTTTCTCCTCGTTGAAGAGGAAACATGGTAGAAAGCAGAGACCGGATTTTATTTCCAAAGAGAAGAATTTAACCTTAAAAACACAGGTTATTGGCTCTTGTTTGTGTGTAGCATCACCACCCGTGCTGTATGCGGTGAAGAAGACATTCAAGTCTCAAGAGACAAGAGTGGAGGCCATCGCAACCAGGGAGGTTTATTATCTGATTCGTTCGGCCCGTTCTCAATGGGCCAAATCATACTCCATACAAATATAATCCATAGTTATGAAACACCCATGGGCCTTTAACACTCGTCGTTAAATAAAATATTAAAAAAAGCCCATTTTGGAAAACCAATCAGATTTTATTTTTTTTTGCTAATTTCAGATTTTTTTTTTTTAAAAAAAAAGTGAATCAGAACAGAAAATGTTATACCTTACCTTTAATTCAAATCAACCAGACATGGACAAACAGAGCATATAGAATCTGAATGATTTTGTCTTGTATACAAAATACATCCGAATGACTGAATGTGTGTATGTCAATAAGTAGTGATAAATCAAAATTTAGGTTGTTACGTTCATATATTTAATTAATGTTTGATCCGCTTCAAAGCCAAGTACGCCAATACTCTGTATCCAGCAATCATCAACAACAAAACACCGACACTCTTCCACGGCCCAATATCTGCGACCACCTCATCCTCCACGAATCGGCACTGTCCGTCGAATCTCCGGCGACCCTCTGACCAGCACCCGATGGCCTTAAAGATCTCGTCGCCGCGTCCGTATTGCACGTCGATCAGGAGGCGGTAACTGTAGAACGTCGTGGACACGTACTTCATCCACACCATGCACGCAGGCACCTTGTGAACGTAGTAACCGCCGATCAGAACGAACGCTAACATCGTCACCGTCACGATCGTGGAGGCCTTTTTTGCGTCCATGATCGCTGCACCAAACAAGAGGCCGAGGCCCTGTGAGGCCACGACGTACAGCAAGAGTACTGCGAGGGTCAGGAGAAAGGCTGAAAGACCGTGTTTGAGATCAACCATCCAGTAAGTTAGCGTTAAGAAAGCCATGGGGAGGACGAGCTCCATGGATAGCGATCCGAGGATGTGAGCCATGAAGTAGGGAGAGAGAGTGTACATCCCAGAAGCGCGTTCTCGAGAGAAAATGGCGCGTTCTTGAGGGAATATGAATGCAGCGTTGACGGACGGAAGTACCCCCCAGAAGATGGTGATGAAGAAGAGAAGCCCGAGGCGGTCCTGCAGTTACATTATTAGTGGGATATATAATTAGAATATATATAGCCATTAGATAAGGAAAAACGTACGTGTAAATGGCGGTAATCAGAGTGCCACCACATGATGCCGGAGAGAAGAGAAGCAGCGGCAACTTGGAAGACGCGAAGGCCGTCAAAGGAATCGTGGCGGCGTTCTCTGAAGAGTCTGTGGAGGAGAATGGAGAGTTGGCTGAACCATTTACCAAGGTTTAGTCGCCGCTCTTTCCCCGTGATAAAGCCCGGGTTTTCATGAGCCAATGCCACGGCTGCTTCAATGCTCCTCTTAGCCTCTGGAGCCATAAGAGTATCGTATGCGGTGACTAGGGTTTGCCTCACGTTCGGCCCCTCCCCATCCACCTCACAAATTCCTGCATAGTTTATAACCATCTTTCACAATCATAAACCCGCCCTATGTTTGTTACCAAAATTAAAATAAAAAAAAAAACATGAACTTCAAGTTGTCAGTATCATATTTTTTTTAAGAAATTGCCCAAAAATATGTCAAATAATAATCTTATCCTCTCTGGTGACCAAATGCACTCACTTGGGTACTTGTCCACAAAGCACCAAGTCAAGTAATATTTTTTACCACGACCACCAATAATCCAAAAGGTAGGAGCGAAGCAGCCAATCTGTTAAATTTTTTTATGCTATTTTTATTTAGAAAAAAAAAGGACCCGAAGACAACTAAATGTGCCATCGTACCAAACAAACAGCGGACCAGCAAGCCCACCAATCACCTTCATCGAACAGACCAGACAAACTAATTAAGATCTTAGAATTGATGGATCCCACTTTAATAAGTCTACAGTTCGTTCTTTTTAATTAGTCGATATTAATCAACCAAATTAGCGATAATGCTGACAAGCCAAGGTGGCCAGATGTGAGAATCCACCACGAAAGCAGAGGGTCGGCACTATGGTTTTGCCTCAGTTTCTTTCTTAATTCTAAAACAGAACAGAAAAGAAACATGAAAAGAGTGGATTATTAAAATAAAATACGAGAATATTAACTATTTCTAAGACAAGATATCAAGAGGGGTCAATGGATGAACAATACAAAGGGGCTCAACAAGTGCGATGGTTGAATAATTTCGGCAAGTGGGTGATACTGTTCCAATCACATCGACCCATCTAGGCGAGTGACTCAAAGGGGCTTTGACACAAACGTACGCTAACTTGTTCCATGTCCCTAACAACACGTCAACATAAATTACCCAAAATAACATCTATAGTGCTTTGTATAGCACCGAATCACATCAAAACTGCCATAAATGAAACCAGAAGCATTGAAAATTCCATGTTTTTGGGAAACAAAGAAAGAAAAAACCATGTATACGGACATTGCAGGGGAAAACATCACATATGCTTTGTAATGCACTGGAAAAAGGGTGGTCATGAGCCTGGTCGGTCAATTGAACAAACTTTTTTTTTTCTTCGGGTTAATAATAAAATCAAGATCGATGGGGGAGCACAGAGGGCGTGTGGGGACAGAAAACTTAATGCCCCGATGATGAAATATCCAAATTTAGATATGCGATGGTGCTCCTACGAACAAATTCTAAGTGCCTTCTTTAATGCTCTCTTACGCTACCAGGGTCGTCACCAAATCTTCTACCATGTGCGGCCGCGCGCGCGCACACACACATATGTATATATATGTGTGTATATATATATAAGCACATTATCTACAGACTACAGTACATAATTACATGCAAGTAATTAATATGCATATTGATAACCACGTACGGCCGAGAAGTTTCTTAAAGAAATGGAATTGATGTAATATCACTTTTTACACAAGAGGCCTAACATGGCATAAGCAAAATACTGATACTAGCTACCACCTTAATTTGACCTATCACTCAAGAGCGAGACTACACATACTATATGATATTTTGATGTCTCTTGCTATGAAAAAACTAGAGAGGAGTGATTAGAATGCCAAGACGGGGAACCACGCTGTATGCATTTATGCACAAATGATACATTTCTAGAGATGTAATTGACTTTTCATGGATATTCATGCATATGGTATAGGTAGAGTAATGATGGTGTTGTTTTTTTTGTCATGGTATACATGGCCCATGGTTCCTAAAACATCAAATCTGGTATGTGTATAGATGCGGTAGATGCCCCAAAATGCAAAATGAATTTTCATAACAAAATTAACCGAAGTCTCCAAAACCTCCCATGGTGAAATGACAACACCCACCAGAAGAAACTCGTCGGAGTTATGGCCCACTCTACATGGCCTAAACGTCAAAACACACTTACCGTAATTGGGTTTTGTTTCCGATAAACGAAGAGCACAACTATGACGCTCTTGGCCCCGAAAACAATGTTGTGACAATAATAGAGAATATTCTATGCTGTATGGATATCAGGAAATTCTACGGAAGAGGTGGTTATAATTAATGAAGTATGGTTATATGTATGAGGAAACATGGAAATGCAGACACACAGAATATTAAAAAAAAAAAACACTTGAAAAAGTTGGATAAAGAGGAAACAGAAAGCACTTTCCCTTCGATGGTAGAGACCTTACGTCACCTTCTAACATCCACGACACATGTTGACTTCCTAGATATTATCCTCATTTTACAAATTCCAATACCCTAGTTTAGATTTTTGGAGTTTAATCTATGTAATAATTTTGGATTTTTGTTTACAAGTTTGTGTGTGGTCAGTCATTCCCCGTTTTGATATTCTATTCGCGGTGTCCTTTGTGTTTGTTATGTTTTTCTCTAACCTATAAATGAACTTTCAAAAATTATATATGCGAAAGATTTGAAGAATTCTACTTATTCAAGAGACCTAGCTAGTTCATAGTTATTATCTGGTGGGACAAGTCAGTGAACCTCTTATCAAATACTATACACTATATTATAAGGTCTTCTGTCAGTGTGGAATATTTTCTGAATAAATCATATTATATGCCATTGTCAAAGGTGAGACCAAAACTCGTGGCATATATCACACTCAGAGGAAATAATAACACGTATCCCCACAATCCATGTACATATATCTAATTGAGATAGAATCATGAAACAGATTCAAACAACAAAGGAAAGAATTGTTAAACACGCGACCTGAGCTGAATTCGGGTACGTACCGTTGGCAAGGTCGAGGAGGAAGTCCGCCGGGTTCATTGGAAACACCGGCGAGAAGCCGACGGTCTCGAAGTAGGAGACGGCGTCTCCGCCCGTGCCGAAGTACAAGCACCGCCCTTCGCTAAGAAGAAGCACCGAGTCGAACATCTGAAACACGCGGCTCGACGGCTGATGCACCGACGTCACCACCGCCTTCCCCTTCCCGTGAGCCACCGTCACCAGCGTCTGCACCAGCCTGTGAGCCGCCGTGGCGTCCAGCCCTGACGTGGGCTCGTCCAGGACAAGGAGGCTCGGATTCACGAGCAGCTCGTGCGCGATGCTCACCCGCTTCCTCTCTCCGCCGGAAATTCCCCTGATGAAGCTGTTTCCGACGACGGTGTTCTCGCATTTCGTCAGGCCAAGCTCTGATATCACCGACTCCGCTGTTCTAACCTTCTCGGCTCTGGTTAGGGTTCTCGGGAGCCGGAGCAAGGAGCAGAAAACTAGGGTTTCACGGACGGTGAGGTGAGTGTAGAGAAGGTCGTCCTGGGCGACGAATCCAGTGCGTTTTATGATCTGCCTGGTGAGTTTTCTGTCGTTGGCGAGGATTTTGCCGGTGAGACCTGGTCCGCGGAGTCTCCCAGCGACGGCGTTGAGGAGCGTCGATTTGCCGCTCCCAGAGGGTCCAAGAACGGCGAGGATCTCTCCGGGAGAAACCATGCCGGTGACGCCGCTGAGGATGGTTCGCTCCTCAACCGTAGCCGTGGATCCCATTCCAAGAAGGCGCTTGAGGCCGGCAGAGTAGCCGCCACTGTCATGGATCTTCACCTTGTAGGACACGTCGATGAACTAAAAAGCACAGGGGATGAGTCAGGTACAGAAATACTGCTGCTAATATGTGTGTGTGTGTGTGTGTGTTACTGAAGAAACGGCATACAAGAAAGGAAAATTTTGGGTGTTTGTTTGTTTTACCTTGAGGCTGATGGGGAAAGATGGTGATAAAGAAGGATCTTGACAATGAATAATGCACGTATCCCTCTGATTTTCCTCTCCGTCAATACCTGCCATTATTAAAGTCTCTCCTCTTTCTATTCGTCGCCTGTTGTTACGTCCTCGGTTAAACCCAGAAATAAATTCGAAGAGGTGCAGCGGAGGAGATGCTGGGGGGGTGTATATATAGATACGGAGGGAATGGGGGATCAACTTGGGAATGGCAACATGGAAAAGTATAACACGTGGCAAACGCAGAACGCCAGCTGGCTGCGGCCGGAGAAATATGCCCTTTCTTTCCTCTTCTCCATTATTTATTTTCTCTTGGGCTCACTCTTCTTTAGGGGGCCCATTCTCTCATGTCCCAACGACATGAATGTGGAGAGAGAGTCTCCGAGCAAGAGAGAGGATCTGACCAACTAGACATTGATCATCGTGTCTTAGTATAAAAGCATTATAACATCCACAGGCCCACCTGAAAGACAACACGTTTCTTCATCTGAAATTGTTAATTTTGCACATTTGTTTCCCCATTAACAAAATCAAAACGACAAATGAAATGACGATGTACAACATAGATAATGCATGTATGTCATGTACGGAACATATGCATCGCTGTCCGAGTAAGATCTTACGATCATGACATTGATTAATTTGTATTAATTTAACCTATATATAATATAAGATTAGGAGAAAGATTAGATGTGCAGGGAGAGGTGCGTTTAGGAGAAACGCAAGTCATGGAACATTGCGGCGGTGCGTTCCGGGGCCATAACGACACCGTTTTCGGAGACCGTCCCTCATAACGTTGACTGTGTGACCTCGGAAAGTCAACCTGTCTCCGCTATGGAAGATTGGACTGTCAGAGAGACAGAACACAACTGAGATCAAGTTTGAAGATTTCAGGGCTTTTTAAGTGGGCCCTCAAGCGGTGACACGTGTCGATCATCTCCACCTTGTGATAGCCAACTCACCACCCCTCTCCTCTTAGACCATCCTTTTGGACCCACAGTGTCAGTATGGACTTTACTATTTCACATTATACAAATATTTCAGAAAATCATAATTGGCATTTTAACAGTGGTACGTGTTACCTGGAAAAAAAGTGAATACAAAGTTAGTTAAAGTAATATATAAAAAGTATTAAAAACCCGGACAAGACTATGAGTTATACATCTAAATAAATAAATAAACACGTGTACAGCTGAAATAAAAGAAAACAAAACAGAGATATTTCAAAAACTTCTCTTCTCGACCATAAAAAGAAAACAGTTAGGAAAAATACTACAGAAAAACGTGTAAAATATTTAATATCATACCAAATTATTTATACGTTCAATAAATAAAACAGTACATGTTAAGCCGAAAACTTATCTTCTCAACCATAAAGAAAGAAAGTAAAAGTAGTATATAAAAACGTGTTCAAGATTTAAAATTATAGCAAATGAGTTATAAATCCAACTAAACGAGCAAACACATGTAAAGTTGAATTCAAAGAAAAAAGGAGAAATTTTAGAAAGTTCTGGTTTCAACCATAAATTGGTGTTCGATTTATGAAACTAACGGTAAAGTCGTTGTAACAATTAATGTGTATATATATATATATATATATAATGTAATTGCATCGCCAAATTTGATCGAAAAATATTGAATATTGTATTAAATTTTGTTAATCACTTTTTCCGAATTGTATAAAATTCATAATACGACATTATTAGCTACGAAAATTTGATGGTAATACAATTTCCTTGTTCACTGTAAAATAAATAAATAAACAAACACATATATATTGGTTATAACTTATAATATTCATTTCTAAGTGAAGAAATGGAGGAAATTGGAGTTCTGGCATCACGGCCCGGACGTCGAAAAGTTGGTCGATGTAGTCCAAATTATGAAATTTTATTGGGCCATTGTCGTTTAGTTAGTAAGCCCATATCTAATAGGAACATCACAGAATGGGCTTAGTGTATGCTGTTTTAAAAGCCCGAAACTATAAGATGCCGATTTCAGAATATATATATATATATACACATTGGTAAAAAAAATTTAATTAAATTGATATATATCTATACATTTCATGTTTATAACCGGCTAGTTAAGCCGAAAACATAAAATGAAAAATAATGATAATAATATTTTTGCTGCCGATGATTATAGATTTCGGATGGATGGAAAAAATTCTTGAAGTATTACATCATTGTCAGGAAATATCTGAGATATATATATATATATATATATATATTTATAAGAGTTACCCAATAAAACAATCAGATCAACAAAACCACTTGGCAACTGAGAATAGTGGTTGGACCAAACCAATGATTCACAAAACCATGAGCTCATCAGATTTACGAGGGTTTTTTTGTGCTTTAATCCGAATCACGCGATTGATGCGAATAATACTGTATAACATAATTTTATTATATAATTATACCGATGATGATGACAATCACCCAACAGCTCGATCCGGAGAAATCCAGATAAGATCCGAGATCATCTTCGTAAACACAGCTTACAAATTTTGTTTTTGGTTCCCCATTTCCGTTCCTTATCTCTCTGTTTTTCTCTCTCTTTCGCTCTCCGAATTTGGTTGGAGAACCCTAATATTCTGCGAAAAAAACCCTGATTTCGAATACCCATTTCCATATTCAAGGACTTGAAGATCTGGGTTGGATTTGTTTCTTTCTGTTGAATTTTGAAACTTTCGATCTAAATGGAAGCGGACGTGTCTATTGTCCGACAAGCTTAACCGCCAATTGCCGAAGTTAAACTTGATTCTTGTTCGATTTGGGAAGAAAGCGACGATGAATCGTGCTCTGGCCCTCCTACTATTACATGTTTTCGCTCTTTCTTGTGTAGTTTCAGGCAAAGTTGTTTTGATTGGGAGCAGCATCACTCGCTCTTTCGACGACATCGAAGCTAATTTCGGTGAGTTTCTTCTGTTGTTATTAGCCTTACAAATATTCGATTTTCCATCTCTCAAGTATTGAGCTCTGTATCATCCATGGCATAGTTTATGGGTATTATGGGGAGATATGACACTTGAGGTATTCGATCGTTTATTCCGGAAAATTTTGCTCTTGTCTCGGTTCAATTCAAATGGTTTTAAATTTGCTGAATTTGATGGAAAAAGGCATCATTCGAAGCTAATTCATGTATGCGTTGGAAAAGGAAGAAACTTTGAATCTGTCACGATGGCCAATACGCTCGGTAGATGATGATGAAAATGCTGTTGTTGTAGCTCGGCCGATCAAGGCGTCGGGAGAAATGGGAGTACTTTACGTGGCCGAGCCTCTGGATGCGTGCAAGGATCTGAGCAATAAACCGGACGAGCATAGCTCAAATGGCACTTCCCCTTTTGCGTTGATCATAAGAGGAGGCTGCAGCTTTGAGGATAAAGTCAGAAAGGCACAGAGAGCCGGTTTCAAAGCCGCCATTGTTTATGACAGCCAAGGCAGTGGCGTCTTGGTGCCAAGTAATTCTATCTTCCTCCTCCTCGTTTTGTTTATCATGCCTGCTTCTTGGATTACCATTTTCGCTGAAAGGCTTTGAGATATCAGTGGCAGGTAACTCTGGTGGTATAAACATATACGCGGTTTTTGTGACCAAGACCTCTGGAGAAACGCTTAAGAAGTATGCTGGTTTACCCGATACAAAAGTCTGGTTGATCCCTAGTTTCGAGAACTCAGCCTGGTCGATAATGGCTATCTCCTTCATCTCGCTTCTCGCCATTTCTGCTGTACTGGCCACTTGTTTCTTCGTCCGAAGGCATCGTATAAGGCGCCGTTCCCCCCGTGTCCGTGAGTTCCACGGGATGAGCCGTCGCTTGGTTAAAGCAATGCCCAGTCTTATATTTACTTCCGTACATGAAGACAACACTACTGCCACCTCTTGCGCCATCTGCCTCGAGGACTACAACATTGGGGACAAGCTCAGGGTTCTACCGTGCCGTCACAGTGAGTAGATGAATTTTGCTAACTAATCCTGCCTGAATTGTTAACAAGTACTAACGAATTCAGTGTTCATTCTTTCTCTCACAGAGTTTCACGCCTTGTGCGTCGATTCATGGCTGACATCGTGGAGAACCTTCTGCCCAGTTTGCAAACGAGATGCAAGAACGAGTACAGGAGAGCCACCGGCTTCAGAGAGCACACCTCTGCTTTCATCTGCCGGGTCGTCCTTTCACTCGTCATCGTTTATAACGTCGTCTGGGCTGCACATCGGTCCTCCCATCGGATCACTGCCCTCCTCGGTTGCATTCTCGCCGGCTCGCGTAAGCTCATCCTATATCCAACATTCATTCAGGTCATCCCCTCACGGCAGGTCTCCTCCTATAAATATGAGCCGGAGTTCTGCGGATCTGAGGCAACAAGCTTCGCCATCCCCGTCACAGAGATGGTACATGTCGCCAAACTCAAGATACATGTCGCCGTACAGCAATGCATCACTACATGTTGGGTCGTCGAGCCATCGGTTTCGTCCTCTCCATTGCAGCGAATCGGCAGCAACGTTTTCTCCCTTCAACTCTTCTCACTCCCTACCTGACTGCTGAACACACCGCCTGCTTGATATTCGTTGTTGAATGAAACAGAGTGTCTTCTTTTGGTAGACTCCAGACTCTTTTGTAGGCCATTCGAGGCAGTGATTTTTACGTAGCTCTCGGTTCATGTCCTGTTTCATTGGGATCTGGAAAGGACCGGACCAAAGCCCGAATTCTCTTCTGCGGCTGCAAAAATGACTTACTGGACGGGCCGGCTCGGCTATAACATATGAATACTAATAATGTTCGGCTCCATGGGAAGAAGTCAAAATTGTTTTGGACTGTTTAGATACATGCATAACCCTCTTTTGCAATGTGTATTAAATGCATGTGCACATGGCTCTCTCTTGTTAACTTGCAAAATACCATTAATTGCTCCGTCCAATATTATAGGTTGTACAATCCTTTTGTAACTAATCGGTTGATTACCTACCTCCCAACATCTCACATGCTGCTTCCATCTTTCCATCTGTCACTCTCCTTCGATTCCAAACTCTGGTTTCACTAGAGAAACTTAAATTCCCGACAAGTTCAAATGATATTTTTATATACATATATGTAACGCGAAAACAGCCCATTAATGTTATATTATGGGAAGGAACGCACCTTTTTTTTTAGAAACTTGGTTGGAATCTAAAAACAGTTTTTTGGGGCAAGGAAGAGTAATTCACTGTAGCACCGTCCCAATTCGCACGCACCGAAATTGTGTTAGGAATATAATGTGGATAGAAATATGTGTATATATTAAATGACTTTTAGGTGAGATTGTACCTAAGAAAGCCCATAACCCTCGATTCAAGTTCCATGTATTTAATAATATTATTTACTAAAAACACCGCATGATGATGAGGCCAGCAATTGGGGGTTGGCACGTCACCTCCTCATATCCTCTCTCTCCTTTTCTTTTTTGTTTGGTTCACATGATGATGGTGATGGTGATGGTGATGATGGACAATTCCATCGAACTATAGAAAAGTACGTCGGAGTTGAATCTGTATGCTCTCTTCAATCAGGTTCTACCCTTATCCCATGAACGATCCAGTCGTGCCACATTGTTAGTTACCACAAGACACGACAGCAATTGATAATTATACCACCCATGCACCCAACAAGATTAGTTACATGACAAATGTTTATATACATATATATATATATATATATATTAAAATTGAGAATTAGCATATTAATTAGTAAATGTATATCAGATAAAAATATTTCCAAAACAATTTATATATAAAAGCCTTTTTTTTTCCTCCGGACGAAGAATAACCAAAAGACAGTGAGAGCCACGTTGATGATTGTGTTTTAAAATAGTTTGAGCGATAATGAAAACGATATTAAATGCTCTAATCCATCGCACAATGTGAAATCTTTATTAAGATGGTGGAATACTCTCATTCCTGACCGTACACGTGTCACTCTCCTCGGCATATTGCTTGAGCTTTCCATCTTCTACACAACTTACCTGGCAAATAGCAACGTCATGTGTTCAGGGTTTGACATATATTAATCTCACTTGTTTAAAATAAACCATAACGTACGACGAAATTAACTATGTAATAATCAAGTCGAACAAGTGGTTTGTTCATCATGTTCTTATAATTCCATATATATATGTTTGTCGTATGTATTAGATCCAACATGAAGGTAGATGCGGATTTTAAATAATCGCAGCTGTTATAAACTAAATGACCAACTCGTAAAATGTTTATTTATTTAGTTATTGCGTGTGTGCATGATCAGTAGTCGAAGAACCCCATTTGAAATCTCATGCATGCATATGCACATATATAGTACAATCCAATCACAAGTCATTGTTTGACGAACATAAAAGAATAGGGATGTAATGTGAGAATATTGAACATACTATGAAAATAACGAAAGTTAGGCAGCCGCTGAAAACTACGAATCGAGACGTCGAAGTGATGAAAATTGCATGGCACGTCTCATCTCGTATTTGCATGATGCAACAGCATGTCATGATGCCTTCATTACACCTAACCATGTGTGTCTTTCTAGCTCTGTGTTGTTTTTCATCGCATCGTCCATTATACACTATACATGAACATGTCAATGCCTCGTGACAGTCTAACGACAATACCAATACATTACTATCAGCAATTACAAGGAACCCTTTTCCCTACTTTCTAACTCTGAAAACTGGCAATGCGACAGGACTCGTTTTGAAACCCTACCCGGCAACATAGACAGACCCCCGTGTCCGTCCCGAACATTCCCGGGGCCCACCGCCTCTCCGACTCCGCTGAGTCAGTGTTCGCCGCTCGATTTGACTCGGGCCGGTGACACGTGGTCGGCCCCATGGACAGTTCCAGGTTCAGTTCGCATTCGTATTCCTTAGCCGACGTCGTTCCGCTGCTCGTGTAGTTACCCTCTTCTTGCAGCAGAGGCTCTGCTTTCACTGTCTGGTGATCTACTCCGGTGAAGTCGAGCTCCGAGGGCAAAAGAGCGTCAATTTGTGGGGACGGCGTCGTTTTGGATAGGGCGGTGGTTTCGGTGATCGGACGGTGGGTCTGAGGGTCGATCCCACGGCTGAGAAGCTTCCGCTTGATGTGGGTGTTCCAGTAGTTCTTGATTTCGTTGTCAGTTCTTCCCGGCAATCTTCCTGCTATCAAAGACCACCTGAGGTTTGAAACAAGGTCAGTTTTTCCGGGAAAGCTGGTATCTTTCTCGGGAAATATACGAGAGAGAAGACTGACTTGTTACCGAACATGCTATGCAACTTGATGATGAGATCGTCTTCTTCGTGGGTGAAGTTCCCTCTCTTGAGATCAGGTCTCAGGTAATTCATCCATCGAAGCCTGCAACTCTTCCCACACCTCTGCAGCCCTGTTTTCCATCCAAAGCAGAACACAAACAGTTAGAAAGGGGAACACTTGAAGCATGCATACGTAGCAGTGTAAATACATATGTACCGGCGGATTTGGGAAGAGATCTCCAGCAACCCTCGCCGTGCCTGCGGATGTAGTCGATGAGGAGCTGGTCTTCTTCCTTAGTCCACGCCCCTTTATTCATGTGGGCTTTCTCGCAGCATGGCGACCTTCCCATCTCCTCTCTATCTGCGTGTTTACCGCTTCAGAGGTGAGATGGAGCAGAGACAGGGGAGTTCCATTTATAATTTACACTCTATTTTCAAATAATTAAAAAAACTGAATTACAACTAATCCGTGTTCACCCATCTATGAAACGAAACATGCCCAAAAACATGGAAATCAATACGGATTATATATCTTTAAAAAACAGATATATACAAAGTGACATGATTGGAAGAAGAAAATGATTAAAAAAAGGGGGAAAATGTAGATCTGAGAGCAGGTAGGTAGATTGGATGGGGACGGAGGCAGGTAGGGCCCTTTTTCATCTGATTCTGAACATTTGCCATATCACACGGAACCTGTTTCTTATTCTCCCACGTGTCACTCCCTTAAAATAAATATTATTTTTTAGCATTGAATTCGATTAGTTTAACACAAGGGATTTTTGGGCCTTTCCATTTAATGTGGGCTTGGGGTCGTGGACTTAAAAGCCCAATATCTATTGGGTTTTTACAGAAAGAAACAGAGAAAAGCTGTGCACTTGGTAGAGTGTGGAGCGCCGGCTGGATATAAACCCTAATTTTTCTGTAGAGCGCCAAGGAGACGGGTGACGATCACGGAGATGCGGAGACTCCAAGAAGTATGTCATCACCAGTCACATTCTGTCGGATCATAAGGTCTCGATCTCTTTCCGATTCTCGTCCCTTGTGTCCTGCTTTCCCGATTGAATTGTACGTTATACGACCAAATCTGTTTCCATTGTTAGAATTAGAATCATGGCTTTTATTTGGTTGGCTAAAGCAGTGGTTTTTAATGTTATTGGCGATGGCTTGATCCCAGTAATGACACTCCGGTGATCGTTTTTGGGGGTAATGCGTTATCTAACAGCTATTGATCATATTTTCTTGCTCTTTTTCAGATGGAATTGCGCGAGGAAGATGATAGTGATGCTGATGAAGCAGATGAAGGGGGATCCAGTGGAAAAAACACTTGCCAACAATGTGGTGTTAATTTCAGGAAAGCTGTTCACTTGAAGCAGCATATGCAAAGCCATTCCCTCGAGGTATATTTCCGCTTTCTCTGCTCAATATTGGGTATCTTCATACATTTTGTAGAGTTATCATTGACCTTTTTCATTCTGTTCGTAAACATCATGTTTTTTTTTTTATTATAAATTTCCTGTGCAATGAACTTTGTTTCGGTTATACTTTACCTCATTGTGTAAAGGAGTGGTAGCTTATTCATCATGCCTATCTAAATCCCTCTGGAAATCCATTTGCGAAAGCTACCACAACCGGAGAGGCATAGAGATGTTCTCAGTTCTGAGTATTTTTCATAATTTTCAAACTAAATATTCACCTTTTTGTAGGATTAAAAGGTTTATTGGTTAAACAAAAGGCCTACGATATTATAGCGTGATGCATTGGATCCCAAAGAAAGATATCCAAAATGGGAGCCAACATGTAATGGACCAGTATCAGGTAGGGAGACCTCCTGAGAAGCCCCAGCGAGTAAGCCTCAATCACGGAAACGGTGCAAGGTCTGACAATGTCTAATAGTTTGTTTGACATTTATGCTCATAAGATATTGTTCCTGATGTGTGGAAAAATTGACGGGTTTTCGGTTTCGTGCAGAGACAGACCTTTTAGGTGTTCTATAGATGATTGCGCTGCCAGCTTTAGAAGAACAGATCAACTAAATAGGCATCTTCTTTACCCACAAAGAGAAGCTCTTCAAGTGTCCGGTGAAGAATTGCAACATTGAATTCTCAGTGAAGAGCAATATGAAAAGACACATTCAGGGCTATCATGGAAAAAGTGATGGTGATAATTTCCAAAGACGACTTTGCAAATGGGCAGAAACAGCATGTCTGCAAAGAAGTTGGATGTGGAAAGGTGTTTAGGTATCCATCACAGTTGCAAAAGCATGAGGATTCTCATGGTACATTCCTTTTTTCTTTATCTTAAGGAATACGCATGCATGTCTAAACTCTCTGAGACCGTTCTTTCATTTCACTGATTCTCGCCATAAAACTAAGAAAATGCTTTGCTTTTCACAATGTTGCCCGACCTTACTTCTCTTATGATGTCTCATTTACCACTTCGGTGAAGCTGGACTATGTGGAGGCAGTCTGTTCTGTTCAGAGCCCGGCTGTAAGAAGTGCTTCACAAACGGGGAATGCCTTAAGGCCCATGCAAGATCATGCCATCAGTACATCAACTGCGAGTTGTGCGGTTTGAAACAGTTGAAAAAGAACATCAAGAGACATCTACGCACCCATGAGGAAGGATATTCCCCGGAAGAAATCTAGTGCGACCTCGATGGCTGTTCTATTGACATTCTCAAACGTAAGATCTACAAACTCTGTTAATGAGTGACAGTTTCAAGGGATTGTTTTTGAATATTGAATATCTTTCTTTAGGTGTCCAACCTTAGGAAACATGTGAAAGCTATGCACGAGGAGGACCAACCCTTTTTCATGGCTGTGGCATGAGATTCGCTTACAAGCACATGAGAAACAATCACGAGACTTGTGGATGGCATACCTATAACTGTGTAAGTTCACGAACCCACATCCCCATGTTTATATCTATGTATTACCCAATGGCACGGTAAAAACAAAACACATGAATGCAGGGAGATTTGGTGGAATCGGATCAACGGTTCATGGCACGACCTAGAGGTGAGTGAAGAGGAAGCATGTTTCAGCAGAGATGTTGATAGGGAAGAGGGTCTTTGTTGGTTTCCTCGTGGGAAAACATGGATGCGGCTCTGCGATTTCTGATTTGGTGAAGCAGAGGGAAAAAACCAAACAGGAAGTCATGGAAAACAGAGGACAGACATGCATGCACATGTGCTGAATATGTTCTGGTCAAGTAAGTTCATACAGACTCGCAAAGTCATTTCGGTCGCCACTACCAATCTGAGGACGACTCTCCCTCCCCCTTTCACACACCAATTTCATGCTTTTTTGGCTTATATCAAGGGGAAACGTTTAGAGGGTCTGCTCGGAATTTTTCAAGACACAGGCATTGTATTTGTCTCTTGGGTTGATTTCTTCTTCCTGCGTTTCCTAATAAACACATATTAATTTACACAAAATAAAGGAAAGATTAATTATCTGTAAATAAAATGATAGGGCCAAAACCTCAGCGAATATAACCTCCCTCCCCCCCCCTAATATTAAATTGGCAAAAATAAACTATGAACAAAGGATAAATGGGTTAAAAAAAACATTATATGACCGTGCAGGTTCCTAACTGACCTTTCCCGGCCGGATTCCCACCAATGATGGCCTGAGACCCCGCTCCCTCTGATATCAGATTCAGAGAAATTCTCCTGTAGCAAAATTCAATCTTACTCGGGGAATCCTTCGGTCGGAAATGGCGAAATCGGACATCTCCACGACTTCAAGCCTGCCCCCTTACGCTAAGATTCAACCGTTCAACGATGCGGATGTCGATCCCGATTCCTACGCTCTCGAGAAATTCAAGCTCTACGAGACCAGAGCGGTAAGCTTGCCACACTTTAACTAGACTGGGATTTTTGGATCGTCTTCTGGGCATTTCTGCTTGCCTCTTTGAAACAATTTGTGGTGGTTAGGAAACCCTAAATTGAATCGCGGCAAAGTTGAAAGTCTTGTTCTTGCACGAAGAGGAGGCTTTTCCTGGTTGGTTTTGTCACTTTTAGGTTGTTTCTTATTGGTTGTGTCCAACTTTGGTGGCAGAGGTTTTATCTGGTCGGGAGTGATAGGAATAAACGATTCTTCAGGGTGCTTAAGATTGATCGTTCAGAGCCGGCTGATCTTAACATAAGTGAAGATCCAGTAGTATATTCGCCTCAGGAAATCAAGAATTTGCTTCAGCGTATTGCCGAAGGAAATCGTGCCACTGGGGGCTTGGCGTTCGTAGCCAAAGTGTATGGAATTGCTGGTCGGTGATGGTTAACAATGTATGTCCAGTTAAATCTCTGGGTTTTTCGTCTGTTGGGCTAAATCAAATAATTTATTTCCTTGTAGGTTGCACTAAGTTTCTGGAGTCGTATTACTTGATTCTGGTGACAAGAAGGCGACAGATTGGGTGCATATGTGGTCATGCAATATATGCTATCGATGAAAGTCAAATGATCACCATCCCCCATGTGTCTGTTCAATCTGATGTTGCGGCTTCTAAAACTGAGCTTAGGTATTTCTATATCATGTGTCGTGCAGTTTACCTTTTCACATACCATGTTTCTTTATGTTAAACTTCAAAATAAAACTTTATTCCTGCTCAATTTTGTATGTTTATGCTTTACCATGAGGTTCTTTAATGTGCAGGTACAAGAAGCTTCTGTCAAGTGTAGACTTAACAAAAGATTTCTTCTATAGTTATACTTATCCTATAATGCAGAGCTTGCAAAAAAACGTGTTGTCATCTGGTGAGGAAGGAATGCCCTATGATAACATATTCGTCTGGAATGCATATTTGACACAACCTATTCGATCGAGGTGCAGCAACTCTATTTGGACAATAGCATTAGTTCATGGGCATTTTAAGCAGGTATTTTTAGACTTTTGTGGTCCTGTCTTCCTCCTCCTCTTGTGATGATGAGTAGAATATGTTGTGTATTTTTAGGTCTACTCCGTATCTGGTTATGCTTCACGTGTCCACCTCAGCATAGATAGCTTAAATGAATTGCGACTCTCTTACTTTATCTGATACAATATAGCCATATCAAAGAACACCAGACAGTAGAGTTTTGTAACTTGCTTTGAAATGCTTGTCTCGTTATTATTGGGTGGTGTATCCTAATGCACCCAGATCAGACTGTCGATATTTGGAAGGGACTTCAGCGTTACTTTGGTTTCCAGACGTTCTCGACATTTTGCAGGCACCCGGTAAGCTTTGGTTCTAGTTAGACTTCATTTCATGGATATTCTCTCTTTTTCTGACTTACTTCTTGCGGCTTCAATAATTTTGGTCTCTGGTGAACATAGTTCTTAAGGCGATGTTGATGTTGATGTTTCTTTTATTTTTATTAAATATCATGGCAGTTACTTGAAAAGAGGAGTGAATGATCGAGGAAGGGTTGCAAATGATGTTGAAACGGAACAAATAGTTCTTGATGAAGAAGCTGGCTCATGCAAGGGGAAAATGAGCTCTGTTGTGCAGATGCGAGGATCAATTCCACTCTTCTGGTCCCAAGAGGCCTCACGATTTAGTCCTAAACCTGATATTTTCTGTGAGAAATGTTCTCTGTTCTTGCTAGTAGACCACTTTATAATGCCTGTGCTTATTTATTCAATCTCTAGCTTCTAGTGAGCGAGTCATGATGACTTTTTTGGATTGTTTGACCTCAGTACAGAGGTATGATCCGACGTACGAGTCAACCAAACTGCACTTCGAAGATCTGGTGAAGCGATATGGGAATCCGATCATTGTGCTTAATTTAATTAAGGTTATTTAATTAATATATGTGTGTGTCCTATGTTGACCTGTGAAATTGGTACGCTTACAAGGTCTTGGTTAGCAGCTGACAGTCTTTAATGGCAATATGCAGACAGTAGAGAAAAGACCTCGGGAAATGATGTTAAGACGTGAATTTACTAATGCAGTGGGGTACTTAAATTCAATTCTTCCTGAAGAAAAGCATCTCAAGTTTATCCATTGGGATTTCCACAAGTTTGCGAAGAGGTAAAATGCTGCAGGGTCCTTCTTTGACCTTTCAATGTAACTTGGACCTCATAACACTTGTTTGTTAATGTTAAAGCAAGTCAGCAAACGTGTTGGCTGTTTTGGGCGCTGTAGCAAGTGAAGCACTTGATTTGACTGGATTTTACTACAGTGGCAAGCCTAAGATTGTTAAGAAGAGGGCTTACCGGCTTAGTCATTCAAATACTGGAAGGTGTCTTTCACTGTTCTGAGACTTGGTGATGATATGTTCAGCTAGTTGCATATATTCTGACTGTCTATATAATCTCGACATACTCTTCCATGTTATTTTAAGCATTGGAGCTATTGCTCACTCCATGCTTGTTTCTGCTGTAATGAAACCATGCTTTTCTTCAGGGAACCTTCTCTTCGTGATCTGAGAGCTTGCTCTGGGGAACTTTCAAGGGGTGGAAGTATAAATGAGAATCTGAGCTCCTTTGCTAATCGAGATAAGGATGTGAACCTTAGCCAAGAGACCAAAAAAGACGATGAAAATTTTGATTCGGCTCCTCGTTACCAAAGTGGTGTTCTGCGCACTAATTGTATAGACTGTTTGGATCGCACAAATGTAGCACAATATGCTTATGGTTTGGCAGCTTTAGGCCGGCAGCTGCAGGCAATGGGTTTGACCGATTCATCTAAGATTGACCCTGACAGTAGCCTAGCTGCTGCTCTTATGGACATGTACCAGAGCATGGGTGATGCTCTTGCCCAACAGTATGGGGGCTCAGCTGCTCATAACACTGTAATGTCACTGTTTGTCAAACATTATAACCGTTTGCTTTCCAGGTAAACCTTATTTTATACTTATTCTTGGCTTTATTTGATGTACCACAGGTTTTCCCAGAAAGGCAGGGAAAGTGGAAGGCCACAACGCAGTCTAGGGAATTTCTCAAGTCAATCAAACGATACTACAGCAATACCTACACTGATGGCGAGAAGCAAGATGCAATAAACCTGTACTCTACTTTTGCTCTCTTGTATAGTTTTCTTAGTCCAAGTTTTGCAGTGGTGAAAGAGTTCCATGAAGGCTTCTGTGATGGTGTGCCCATAGGATGACCAACAAAACTTTCCTGGTTGTTTATCTGACGTTGAGTGTTACCTTGTACTGGTGCACAGATTCTTGGGCTACTTTCAACCTCAGGAAGGGAAGCCTGCACTCTGGGAGTTGGATTCTGATTACTATCTCCATGTGTCAGGGATCGGAGATGAGATATTCCCAGAAAAGGGGTAAGATTTACATTTCAGTAACTTATGTCCTCAAGAGGCCTTTAAGACCAGGTTTCAGTTTTCATTACATGAGCTATACAGAAGAGTCTCCTGAACTAGTTAGGGATTTAGTGATGCAGCGGCGCTGCACATCTTTCCTTTTGATTGGGATTTTTCATTTTCTGGTTTTACTTGTTTAGAGTTTAGAATTGTCCTTTCTTAGGTTTCCTTTTTAAGAGTCCAGTTGGATTCGGAGTTTTATTTTTTTTTTCCAAAAAGTTTGCCTTTTGTTTAGATTTGTCCTTTCTCTGGGTTTTCTTCCTACGTCAAAATGAGCTGGCTCGTGAGCCAGCTCGCGA